ATACCACGTCTAATCGTCATTCGCATGCATCGAACTCATAACACCAAAAATAATCTTAAGTCCAATTATTTATTAAATTTACTCAATTATTTACACGGACCATATAATGAAAGAAATCCCTACTATTGGCATAAAGCTTATATCTTATAGCTACTTATTATAATCTCTGTGTCCCAAAAAATAGTTCACATTAAATTTTAAAATTTATATTATTTTTTTTGAAGCGAATAGAATAATGAGGGGGTGTTTGGATGATGGTTATTGGAATGAAGGAATGAAATGACTTTTAATATTAGTGTTTGGTTGGCGGGTTTCAAATTGGCAGGAATGTACTGATTTCTAAACTCACCAGAAGGTAGGTTTTGATCTGATTCCCGATTGTGTAACTTTTTTTTTTTCTTCAAGTCTTTATTTTTTCATGACAATTTTATGTTGTATAAAAATTTATTATTATATTATATTGTAAAATTAATTTTTCTTAATTTATATAATTCAAGGCTTTTTTTTAAAAAAAAATTCGTCATTATATAATTCAAGTTTTATTTGAAATTTTTTAGTCATATTTAAATTACCACCATCCTTGAATCATGTTAAATTTATTAACTTATGATTCGTATTGAGATTGAATTGCAGAATTTGTTTATTGTATTAGATTTTATATTAATAGCTATTCAGACTCAATCAAACTAATTATGATTTTAAAATTATAAACTATATTATCAAATTGACTAAAATTAATATAAATAATTATTGATTTTTTAAAAATTTTGTTATTAAATTTTCATGCCATTAATTAAATAAATAACATAAATATAAAAAATAAAATGATACCTAAACTTTTATAAACCAAATAACTATTTTTGAATAGGTATACCCATAGTAAACCCTTCCTATTATCTTATCTATTCTTATAGTAAAACCCATCAATATACCAACGGACCCTGAATTTTTTGATTTCTGGGATCTCATCTTCATGTAAATTGCACTTTTTACGGTGAAACAGTTCCATTATTTAAGATTTTGTTATTTTTTTTATAAGTCAAATACTTTTATTCCGTAACTTTGACCATCAATGAATAATATATAACTAATAGTGCTTCATACACAACCTTTAAATAATACAATTTAGATACACAATCTTTCAAAAAATAATTCTCAAACTTTTTTTCCCATTAAACAATCATAGCCCAGTTTAGTTTGCATTACTCTCTTGTACTTAAACAATATATTTATATTCGTAATTGAACTACGTAATTGATTCAATACTGTCATAAAGTTGTTAGCAAACCAAAACTCAAAGCACAAAATAACTAGACAAACATTGCTATAAAAAAAGAAGAAGAAGAAAGAAACAGCTAAACTCCTGATACACCGCTCAGTAATGGTGGATACAGAAAAACATATTCAATAAGAAATATATTACAAGAACATTTAATGATGCAGTTTACAAGTGTATAAATTTTTTTTATTCAATTTCAATAAAATGAAACTTACTTAATATTATTATGGATGTAATTAAGACGGAAACTTATTGTACCAAAAAAAATTATTGCCCCGTTTGATTTCTTATTTTTTGTACAATTTACATTACAAATAAAAATCTAAATTGAAAAATTATTTAGGGACAGAGTAAATATAAATGTTATAAATGTTATAGTAACATATATATTAAATTTCCTGCTTGAGAATTGATCACACGTTAACGATTTCTTTGTTCTTTTTTTCTCATAAGTCTTTTTTCACACTGTAGGGTTTCCATAGTGGCTAATCCCTTCACTCATGCGAGAAAATAAACATAGAAATATAGCAAGAGATTGTTTGTACCAAAAAAATCACCCTAAACCGTGAGAACCGTGAGAAAGAAAGGGGCAAAATTCTCTAAAACATACAAAATCAGGCGATTGTGGATAAGTTCAAAAACCAGCCTCAAGACATAGAATCGATGACTTATGTTCACTTTGGTTTGTAAATAAAAAGAAAAAGAGAATAAAAAGATGAGGGAGAAACGAGCCTAATGGCTTTAATTCTTAATAGTGGGAAAAATCCCTAGCGCCGGCAAATTATAGATGGTTCCGATGACGCGCTATTACACGGAGGAAAAAGATATTAGCACCGACTAGACGTAGCCGATGACACGCTATGACACAAACCAGAAAGATATTAGCGCCGACATGGAATGTCTATCACCGACAGGGAATGCCTAGTCGATAGAACGCTATTACAGAGAAAAACCGAATTTACTGAATTAGAATCCACGAACTACTACCTATTTCTACGAAGGAAAATAGGCAAACACCTATTTATGCTAGGCTACATCTAGAAAAGCATGATAAAAGACATGAAGTAAAAACTAAAAAGAAAGAAAATAAAGACTGATGATTTGATGATTTGTGGTGTGTCTGTTTGATTACCTCTTCGGCTCTCGTTTTAGTAGAAATCCAGCTGTGCCATTGTTGATTGAGAAAGTAGAATCCAAGTCAAATGCTTTCTATTTATTAGGGGAAGAAATACTGCCTTCACATGTTAATCAATTTGCCAACCAAACTCCATTCAAAGTAGGGAACTAATAATAATCAATTCTTGGCCAAATTAGACTCCAAATGCTCGTGGAATGTAGAACCCACGGAAATCACTTTTCTTCATATCAATATGATCATCACGTGACCTTTTCCAATCCAAACCAAATTCCAACTTATTTTACAGACCAAAAATATATATTTTTGGGATCAAACATAACCCCTCTCCCCGGAACGCTCATATGAAATGGACTGAAATGTGAGCATTAATAAGCACATTGAAACACAGTTGCTGCAACACCTGTAATATTGTTGATGTTGCGCCGACAACACTTGTTGTTGCTGCAGCACTTGCTAAGACTGTGCCGACACCACCATAGAATTGGTAAAAGCGGCAAAAAATGTAGCCTGCCATCCAACATTGTTTTCAGCCCCCCTCCCCTCCCCCTCCCCCTCCCAAAAAGAATTATGTCATATATGAACCTCCCAAAAAGAATTATGTCATATATGAACTACGGGCTGTCAAAGATATACCCACCAAGTGGTGATGGATATAAGAAAGAAAAATAGATTTTTTTTTTTAGGGGAAAATTGAATCCCACGATCTAAATCTAAACCAAAGCTCGTTCCACCGGGCGTGCCATTATGTTTGTGCTGAAAAAATCACCGTAGACCATGAGAAAGAAAGGAGCAAAATTCTCTAAAACGTACAAAATCAAGCAATTGTGGATAAGTTCACAGCATCGGACCTAGAATCGAGGGCTTATGGTTCACTTTGGTTTGTAAATAAAAAGAAAAAAGAATAAAAAGATGAGGGAGAAACGAGCCTAATGGCTTTAATTCTTAATAGTGGAAAAAATTCCTAGCGCTGGCAAATTATATATGTTGACGATGACGTGCTATTACATGGAGGAAAAAAGATATTAGCGCCGACTAGACGTAGCCGATGACACACTATAACACAAACCAGAAAGATATTAGCACCGACAGGGAATGCCTAGTCTATAGAATGCTATTACAGAGAAAGACCGAATTCACTAAAGTAAATTCATGAATTACTACCCATTTCTATAAAGGAAAATAGGCAAACACCTATCTATGCTAGGCTACATCTAGAAAAGCATGATAAAAGACATAAAGTAAAAACTAAGAAGAAAGAAAATAAAAGACTCGATGATTTGGTGATTTGTGGTGTGTCTCTTTGATGACCTCTTCAGCTCTCTTTTATAGTAGAAATCCAGCCGTGCCTTTGTTGATTGAGGAAGTAGAATCCAAGTCAAATGCTTTCTATTTATTTGGAGAAGTACTGCCTTCACATGTTAATCAATTTGCCAATCAAACTCCATTTAAAGTAGGGAACTAATAATAATCAATTCTTGGCCAAATTAGACTCCAAATGCTCGTGGAATGTAGAACCCACGGGAATCACATTTCTTCATATCAATCTGATCATCACGTGACCTTTTCCAATCCAATCCAAACCAAACTCCAACTTCTTTTGCAAGCCAAAAATATATATTTTTGGGGTTAAACGGAGATACATTTTATTTTGCAAACATCTAAATGATGCGAGTAAACAAACATCTATTGGGCATAAATTTGTTTCTTAGGAAAAAAAAGGTTTATGTAATGCTCTGGCGAATAAGAGACTAAATCGGAGGGATTTGATCGGAGATTAGAGAAGACGGGGGTAAGGTTTAGGGTTCTTGTGAACACCCCAAAGGGGAAACAACAATTTTTAATCTAATTCATCATTCTTCGATAATGAAATTACAACCCCTAATAGCTAATTTATAGTTCCTAAGTTTAGTAAACTACCGATAGATCCCTACACTATAGAATTGAGGCAATTGAATCCCCGATTCATGACAAACCCCCTCCCTTAAATCAGTCGTCCCCAAGACTGACATTACAGAGAATACTATTCAACTAAATAGCACTTAGCACAAAGGCCATTTCACCTAATAACTGAAAACAGAAACTGCAAAAAGAAACAGCAACATAACCAAGATAACCTAATTGCAAAAAAAAAATACACGAAAACTGATGAAAATGTGGTCATTTCTTGAGTGCTGAATCTCCATCCAAACAGCAAGGTACTAACCATAGCAGACTTGAAAAACAACAACCAACGACCACCACATGTGCTCCAAGTTCTGCGACCATTCTATGGAAACAACCTCTAACATAGCCAGGCAATCATCCAAATGAAGCTTTCTTGCCAAATGACAAATTGTCATTAACATTATGTTTATAAACAATCGTCCCACCTTTAAAAAAAGTTATCCGTTTGTCCCAAACTTTACAAGATAGTTGATTCACATGCAGATGATAAGTTCTACCAACTTCAACAGTTTCAGCATCAAATAAGTTCAACCGAATGCCCGTGTTAAAATTCACAGCAATACTATCGACATTTAAATCCAAACAAACCCTTGTGCCCCCTCTAAAACTAGTTTCCTTCTCAACCCAAGTTTTACACAACTAGGGATTCATAGACAAAAGGGACTTCTTCCCATATTCATCCGGTTCTACAATAGACAGTTTCAATTGAATGTCATAATTTCCATCAGGATCAAATACACCAAAGCTTTGACGACTACCCTTAATGAAAGAACACTGCACATACAGACTACCTTCAACATTGAAAGACACGGGTGCACTGCCATCTTGGCAATTGAATTCCCAATTTCCACCCGGATCAAATGTAACCCGGCAACAAGCATTTGCACTACGGAGGAAATTCAGAATTGTAACTAACCCGGCATCAATATGGTTCAAATCAGTACAATTATAGGCAGGTTTAGTGACAACATCGTTTAATCCATTCTCCACAACCATCAATTCATTCATTGATAACGAATCATCACCAATCACATTAGCATAACTGAGACTCGATTTAACCCTAGGGGTATCAATTAAACTCGTCATCTCAACAGGAGCATCAGAAATCTCAGTGGAAATCATCGAATCAGTATTCAAATCCACCAGTGTCTTCTCATTTGCATCAAAATGCGAAAATTCATCAGTGAATTTACCTTGCTCGTTAATGACAGTGCTGGATTCTTCTAATTCAGACGCTATTTATGGATTTGTGACCTCTTCCTTTGCGCCGCAATTATCAACACCAAGCATTTTGAAAATGGTGTCCATCTTTTCCTTAAGGCGATCCTAAGTGCGTCCGCTCTTCTCTTCAGCTGAAAGATTGAGAAGCTTCTCAGCCTCCGCTTCTGACTGGTGGCTATGAAGAACTTTTTCAACTTCTTGATGAGAGATAAGACTGGCTGGCCAAACGATTGTCATTTCCAAATGAAGAGCTGAGGAATGGTCTCCTAGGGTTTCATTTCAAGTGGGTAATTCGCCGATTAGAAGCGACGATTCCCAAGCCCACTCGTCCACATCACTCCATTATCTATTCGTGAGTGCAGATAGAATCGGAATAGATTGAATTCAAGAACAAGCAGAAGGGTACAGGTTCAGATTAAATCGAAGTGGAGAAGAAAAATTTTATAAATTGATGAAGAGGAGAAGAAAAAACGAAGAGAAATCCGAAATGGAAATGATTCGAGTTCGAACCAATTTCAGAGGGAAAAACAGAATCAAATTCTCGGAGGACGGTATCCGACGAAAACAGAGAGATGAAGATGAACCGAAACAATCTCGAAAAAAAATGGAAACCGACTGAGAAGAATTCAGAGAAGTAGCGGAAGAAATGGGAAAGAAAGGCCAAGGAACTACTCGCTCTGATATCAAATGTAATGCTCTGGCGAATTAGAGATTGAATCGGAAGGATTTGATCGGAGATTAGAGAACACGGGTTAAGGCTTAGGGTTCCTGAGAACACCCCAAAGGGGAAACAACAATTTTCAATCTAATTCATCATTCCTTTTTTTTTTTTTTTTTTAAATAAACAGAGTAGTATGGTAGTAATACTAAAATCTCTTTACATATTCCAATAAAATGTCACAATACTGCTAGATTCGTTGAACTTCAAAATTACTACTATGATGTATGTGGGCCCATGCATTGCCCGGATTGTGAAAATATATCAACATAATTAGTGCAGGAAAAATTTTTGATAAAAAGTGAATAATAAAAACATGACACATATATCTTTAAAATTTTAGAAAAAAAAAAGATTTCAAACAGTAAGTAAATACGGAAATTTGTAATGACCAAACATTTTTTCTTTATTATGATTAAATGTGGTAACACATATGTAATATGTTAGAACATATAAAAGGGCACGACATCATTCAACTTTTTGTTATTGATCAGATAACTTGGATAACTTGAATCCACAAGTAGAAGGAGGATTAGCCAACTCTGAAATTTTTGAAATCCTAATATTGCGTTTGAACATTACCAATATTTTTGCAATCGTTAAACTTGTATATTAGATTTTCTTAAACTCAGTTACAGTTTTGTTACCTTGCAAAAATCAAAAATACATTGAAAAATAACATTAGTTAGCGGTCACATACCTGGAAAAACAAATTGTGTATGGTCTCGTTTATACATCGCTTAGCAACACGGTCATCTCATCAATCTGCAACAAAAAGTTATTGTAGGAAAAAAAAAAAGATGAACTACCTTAATCAAAATTACAATTAAGTGACTAATTCAACTTTCAAACGGGACGGAAATTGACTTTGCTTATGCACCAGACTGCTGTCACGGCCTCTAATTTGGGTTATTTATAGTACATAAGATAAGTATGTTTCTTAGGGTTTAACATGTTATGAGATATTTTTGGTAAATATTTTATATGAGTAATTATATGATTTTGTGGATAGGTTAAAACTTTAGGCTTTACTGATAGAATTTGGAGCAATTAATTAACATATTTGGGAAGTTTGTGAATATGGACGGAATATTATTTTGGTTAATTTACCCATAATTTTTTAAATAAATTTCATTTATTAATTTTCGGATGTGGGAAGGAATTAAGGTGATCAATTTAAATCTCATTATTTTCGAATTTGAAAATCATATCATGATGTGCTATAAACTTGGAAGTCATATTTGGAAATGATATTTATTGTGCTTTTTTGAAAATTCTGAAAGCGTTTAGAAACGTTTTAAAATCACGGATGATGTGCCATACGTCCGGACCTTGTTCAATGTTAACTAATTATTATTATATTTTTGATTTACCTTGGTTAATGAAATATATATGAGTAAATAAGTTAAATTAAATAGTTACTAATTTTTTTTACTATATCTAATTAGGCTTGATTTTTATGATTATTTGATTGGACATCTCATTATGTGACACGTGTCCTAAAAGCTTATTCTCTTAATATATAGGATTTTTTTTTTTTATATATATACTTAAGAGGCAAAAGTGCCTAAAATTACAAGTCCTGCCTAGATAATAGCTCTTACATCAAAAAGGCAGCAGCCCACAAATTGCCTTTAATGCTCCACACAAAACACTCGACGCAACAACACAATAATTCATCATTCTTCAATAATGAAATTACAACCCCTGATAGCCTGTTTATAGTTCCTAAGTTTAGTAAATTACCGATAGATCCCTACACTATAGAATTGAGGCAATTGAATCCTCGATTCATGACAGTTTACGTCAATAGCCCAACCCAATAATACACCACGGCCCAAATCAAAATTTTCAATTTGTCATCAACAAACCGCCTAACTTCCCAAAAGTCGTCTTCCTCGCACAGCAGTAAAACAATCTTTTTTTTCTTCCATCGTTCTCCGTGTTCTGTTCTCCGGTTCTCTCCAGAAGCCGATTCCGACGAGGTAACTAATTTCATCAATGGATGTTCGAAGCCGGAATTTCAAACTCGCCGTAACGATTGCGCTTTCAGTAGTAGTATCAGTCTGCCTTGCAGCTCATTACCGAAAGCGCAGAAAACAAACACGTAGGAGGCAATCCTCAACTTGTTATCTAGACACAGGAATCCCCAAGAAACCGCAATCCAGTTTCAAACGCGTTCTCGCCGACAATTCCTATGCTCAGTTCAAGCATTTGAAGCTCCATGGAGGCTCAGCTGGAGGTAGCACATTTACTAATTTATTTATTTATTGTTTTTTTTTTCTTAAAAAATAAATTTATGTTTTTTGTGTCTGAATATATGCTCTTAATATGTTTGGTAGGTGATTGTACTAATGTTCATCCTTACAAGGAAGAGATTGGGGAGTTGCTGAAGAATTTGAATACAGAATTTATCGAGCTTTTTGATGGGGAAATGGTGACATTAGAGGATAGTGATTGTATTTGGGTTGAGAAGAGGTCGCAGTTGGAGGAGCTTGTTGAGGTGCTGAGTAAAGAGAGAGTTTTTGGTGTTGATACCGAGCAGCATAGTCTCAGATCCTATCTAGGCTTCACTGCTCTCATTCAGGTTTTTGGTGTTTATTCGCATTTCCTTTTGAATTTTGTTCGTTTTATTTGATGCTATACTAGTTTTATGGTGTTTTAATTAATAGTGTAGCACATTGCGAAACAATTCAAGTGGAGCTGTTTGGATGCCATTCATATAGTCTAATTATTTGGCACAATACACTCTTATGCATATTAAAATGTTTTTGTTCTATGGGCCACCTCTATTTTAACTGATTCAGGAGGCTGTGTAGTCCTTATTGTTTAGGATGAATGTACCAACATGTTCTCACATCGAGCAAAGGTGCAAGTTGTAATCTTTAAGCATAATATCCATGTTCCGGGTAGAACAATTTCATCTCTGACGTTCATTGTATTCAATTTTTCTGTCTTCCTGTTGATATTGGGATTCTTTGTTTCAGTAGATTTCGACGAAGAAGATGGATTTTCTGGTGGATACAATTGCCTTGCATGATGTGATGGGAATTCTCCAGCCAGTGTTTGCTAATCCACGTATTTGTAAGGTCATTACTTTCATCTATCAATTGTTTTATTTGTTTTTACTTTTTGCTTTGAAAGTTTTAACCAACGATGATCATGCTTCTTTAGATGTTAATATTGTTGTCAGCTTTGCCATTTATCTCGCAATAATTATTCCTAGACAGATTTGGGGTTGGAACATTTTGTTCTGTATGTTCTCGGTTCCAGCAGTGATTGACAACGCTTCCACAATAAACAATTATTTTTTAGTAAAAAAATAACTATAAAAAAAGAGGGGAACTCATTATAAGGGATTTTACAATGTTGATATTGTAGATGGAAAATTGCTCTTTCATCATCTCCATCCAATCATATATTTACATGTAGTTCTGTGGTGGAAAAAAAAGTATGAACTGTTAATCGCAGTTAATCAAATGGTACCAGTGATGTGTTTACATGAAGGTACAACATTGTAATGTTGTTTATCTGTATTTGTTTCAACCTCTCGAAGAAGAAACATATATTCTTCGGACAACCTTTAAAACGTCTTGGGGAACTATCTGCATTAGTTTACTTTTCATTCCTATTATTTATCTTTGACGTATAATTAATAAGCGAGTTTTCATTCTGTTGAAAAATGTTTAAAATGGGTATGGAAACCAATTAGCCAACTCATGAAACCTTAGAGGAATTTCGGAGTTCTATGAATGAAAGAATAAATGAGAATTTTACTGTCCTATTACCTAATTGCTTCTAATTAGCTTACAAAGATTCATCATCTCTACTGTTGCATAGTTTATCAATTTTTGCTGTGCTCGCGTAAGAGTTTGTGGACTAACATTTATGCCTCTATATCGATGTGATATGTCCTTATTATTTATTTATTTTTTTTAGTCTCTAGGAAGTGTTATTTTTTTTCCTGTTGTCTTTTCATGTCAGTACAGGATTGTATGCAAAATATGCTACTATGGATAAACTGGTTGCTTCTCACTTCTGATGTAGGTTTTTCATGGTGCTGATAATGATATTCTCTGGCTCCAAAGGGACTTCCATATTTATGTGGTTAATCTATTTGATACAGCCAAGGTGAGTAGTTAGCTAACTGTAGTAGGCTTTACTTCGATCATATAAGCTGTGGGACTTCATTCATACAATTTAAAGAACTTGGGTAGAATCTTGTTAACTCATACAATGCTTTCGATATGTTTTAGGCCTGTGATGTGCTTTCAAAAGCACAGAAGTCGTTGGCACATTTGCTTGAAGTATATTGTGGCGTTTCCAAGAATAAGCTCTTGCAGGTTTGTCGATTTTGGCATTTCTGAATTTTAATCATCATTATTTTTTGAGTAACGAGTAAATTTTTGAGAAGGAAAAGTATTAAGAAGGAGCGATGGAACAGATGCTAAATTAGACACAAATTTCACAAGATGGAGTACAATTTTGACATGTCTTATTATAGTAGACGGTTCTAGTCCTTTCATTATAGTAGACACAAATTTCACAAGATGGAGTACAATTTTGACATGTCTTATTATAGTAGACAGTTCTAGTCCTTTCATTATAGTCACATCATAGTTAAAATTCCTTCAAGAAGCATATCTCAGAGGTTGACTGCGCATCTTGGAAAGATCTACTGCATTTTCACAAAGGCTCATGCGCCTAAATGCGCCTAAATGACTGTACAGGAGTCTGAATGGAAGGGATAGTAATGAAATACCTAGGAAGAATGACCTTGTGTATTTTGAGTAGTAGAAACTATATGAACTGTTAAGGGTAAAATTTTGGGCATAGTATGATGAGCATAGGCATAAAAACATCATTATTCCCAATAGAAGAGAACCAAAAGTTTGGTACTGTAGAAACAATAAAAGTAGGAAAGGTTAAATTGTATTATAGATGCAATATTCCTCATTAAAGTGCGGGAGTGCCTTGTTAGGGTTATTCCAAAGATTGTGGTTGGAAATGAACCTGCAATTTTGGTTTATATCTATGCAGCCAATGTTGGATTAGAAGCAACAAAGGATTTGTTCTTCCACTATATGGGGTTGGCTATATAGATCCTCGTCAAAACATGTTCTTTCATTAAGTTGAAATAGAAATAGCTGATGGGTAAATGGGCGATTGCTATATTGAACAGGCACAAAGAGTTCGACTGGGGATATGAAGTGAGGATGAAATGTGGAAAGAGTAGATATTACCTTCTCCACTAGATAATCATTTTAGCTATAAGCTTGCTGATTTGCTGGCATCATAAAAGAGATATTTTGTTGCTGATTCCAGCCAATAAATAATTCTTTTTATTTAATTATTTATTTAATTTTTTTTATATGTATCATATTAAGGTCCTGGACATCATAAGATGAGCTAGGCACCTAGGATTGTTGTCCTGTACTTTGGATTTTTATTTTCTTTTCAATGTATTGATTTGCTTAGTGAAATTTTTAAGTGCTGTGAAGCGGATGGATATGTGGGAAGAGTTCAATGAGCCTCAAAATGGCTTCACAAATATGTAGCTATGTCATTCTTAATTAGCAAAACAAAGAAAAATAAGTGGAATTGTAATGTTTGTTTCAGATAGCAGATTATAATTCATTTTAAATTATTCTATTTTCACGAGAGGGAGTTGTTGCCACATGTTCTGATTTTAAGGTTGGTGTTGTGGAAGAAGTATCTTGTACATGAAGCTTTGATGGTCCTTGCGATACTGGGTTTATTATCTCTGAATTTTAATTTATACTAATAATTTCATCATCTGTGCTGCAGAGAGAAGACTGGAGACTACGTCCCTTGTCTCCGGAGATGGTTGAATATGCTCGAGCAGATGCACACTACTTGTTGTATATTGCGAAATGTCTTGTTTCAGAGCTCAAACAATATGCCAGTGGTATGCCATTTATCCCTTTGTATGTTTTCGAATTTAGTTAACCTTATACGACTTGCGAAAATGTCAATGTATGGATATAATCGTTAATGCATATCATACAGAAAAAGCTTGAAGCATTTCATCCTTGGTATGACCATTTCTTGTTACAACGAGAACAGATTGTGTAAAAATCAAAGATAGCTGTAACTTAATCTTTCAGTTGTTTGTTTGTTTCTTCTTTTAATTATTATTGCTTTTTTCCAAGTAATGGGAACTGAAAATGTCCACATTTTTTGGTTAAAAACATCAAACATTGGCCATTACGTTATTTTGTATAGCCCAGACTAATAGCCTCACTTTCTAAAATAAGAACAATGCAACTAGGGAGAACATAAAAAATTATGCACCGCTGTCTAGACCTAGCACGATTCTAAGAAACATGTTTATGCTAATCGTGTCACTGTGATGAAATGTTCTTCCACGAAAAAATCTGTACGTTTATTTGCTACACCTGTCTTTTTGTTGTAATTGGCTTGTTAAAACGTCAAGGAGAAGTTAATCATTTTGTTTATTTTGAATTTCTGAAATTGAGAAACCTAAAATAAGATATTGATCAGAAAACCCGTCATGCATCGATGAAAAGTTCCATTTTGTTCTCGAGGCTATGCGGCGTTCAAATGCGGCATGCATGCAACTTTATGCAAAGGATGTTGAAGCTTTTCCTGGAGAGTCTGCGGCAACATCTATAATTTCTCGTTATTCCCTTGATCAGCGAAGTTTTCATTTAAATGTTTGTGATACAAAAGAAAACTGTTCATGCCATGATAAGGTAACTCTCCCATTTTTTTATTTTATTTACTTTTATTTTATATTTTTTTCGCGGGCTTGGGGGTGGTTGTTGCGCACTTCTTTTCCCAGAATTTGATGAAAGTTGGTTTCTGTACCTTCTTCTTCATGTAATTTCTTTTGAATTTTGCAGTTTCAGATTCTCGTGAGACGGTTGTGCAGTTGGAGGGATATGATGGTGAGTGAAAAATTTAACTTCTGCTCTCTGGCCTTATATATTATTCATTTATTTTGAATTGCGTTACATCTGTCTCTAGTTCAAACTTCTGTCTGGATTATGGCCTTTCTGCCTATGTTCGATCATTATTAAAACCAATTATCTTCATCCTATTTTTATGTTACATACATTGTCCTCAGGCCCGTGTCCATGACGAGAGCTTGAGATATGTCTTGTCTGACCAAGCTATTGGCGCACTTGCAACCACAGTTCCAACAACTGAAATGGACATATATGATACTATCTCTGCGGCTGATAAAAGTTCTGATTCCACGATTCTTGGTTCTTTCATTCAAACCCCATCACCAGTTGTCTGCAGTCATGTTGAAGATTTTGATTTTCTATTTTTTGGTAGTGATGCCGAGGTTGATGACCTTTGTTACGTGATTTTACAAAGGCACCTAGGACCTGAGGGAAATTGTCCACTGTCAATATATAATTATTATTTGCTATCCGAAACTAGTCTGAAAATGACAAAAAAGAGACCAGTTACCAAACAAAATGGCTCAAGAACTTCAAAGGTGGTTGCTCGTAAGAAATCTAGAGAATTATTTGTTCAAAAGTTCTCCTGCAAATCCCCAGTCTATCATAACTGTAGAATCTATGCAAATGACGGACGATTATTATGTTACTGTGACCGGAAAAAACTTGAATGGTAGAGTTTTTAATGTCATCAGTGCTTTTTGGTTTATACTTTTTTTTTCAATTTCCTTTTTCAAAAAACTGATTTAGATTCTGCTTTGTGAAGGTATATTAACCGAGGACTTGCGAAACTTGTTGAAGATGACCCTCCTGCTATTAAGCTTCTTTTTGAACCTAAAGGTCGTCCTGAGGATGAGGGCAATGACTTCTACATCCAAAGTAAGAAGAACATATGTGTTGGTTGTGGTGAAGGAAATCACTATTTACGCTACCGAATCATACCATCGTGCTATAGAATGCATTTTCCTGAGCACTTGAAGAGTCATCGCTCTCATGATATAGTCCTCCTTTGTGTGGATTGTCACGAGATTGCGCATGCTGCTGCCGAGAAGTGCAAGAGGCAGATTGCTAAAGATTTTGGAATTCCGCTATATGTTCGTAAGGTCATCGTTTCTGATCAAGTTAAGGATGCAACTGAATCGTTATCTAACAGATATGACGAGGAGAGAGGGGTATCTCCACTACAGTTGCGCACTGCAGCTATGGCTCTGTTGCGACATGGATCACGAATGCCACCAAACCGTCGTGAAGAATTAATCCAGGTGCGAATATGTCTCCCATATGTAAAATTTGGTTAATGGAATTTCTACAATCCGTATGGCCAATCCCGCATAGTGGGAGAATGGGTAGCAGTTACTGCTGTTATTGTGATCAAACCTGAGAGTGGTTTTTCAATTTAGTCTAAAGTTAATAGAATCTTTATTATTCTCTTTTATTGTGATTGAATAAATGACATTCCTGTTTAGCGCGCATGTCTTTTATGTGACATCTCATACACCACTGATTGGAAATGGTTGCTTGTTGCTAAAAACCTTATCGTGTTGTGAGTTGTTGATCAATTTCTAGCTAATCTGTGTTCCGAATGTCATAGTGTTTATTCTTTTTTCTTGTAATATACAAGTACTCATCTGCTTTTTATCTTGTACATTCACTCTTGCTTGGGAATTTTATTCTTTTGTAGGCTTTTAGAGTCTTAGAAACATGTATGCTGTGTGATTGATTCATCTTTCTAATTTTTTCTTTTCTTTTTGGATTTTAATTTACTATAAGCTCTAATTGATGTCTTACTGTTTAGCAGATAGTGGAAAAGTATTATGGAGGAAGGGAAATATCAAATGAAGATCTGGAAAGAGCTTTGCTTGTTGGCATGAGTCCTCATGAAAGAAGACGACTGGAGAAAAAAAAAGCCCTTTTTCGTCAGTCAACTTCTCGGGGTGTGAATGTCTCGCAGTCTACCACAGAAGATGTACATAGCAGGGAAGATGTTAGTGAAAATTTAAGTGGCATGGATGTGGAGGCAAGTGGGCCTGCTACAAACTCCAATTCTATTGGCGATGATGCCAATTGCAATATGGTGGATTCTGATGTTGTCTCATGTGTACCTGTTTCAGAGGCAGATGTGGTGTCTGATATTCAAAATTCGCCAAGCAAAGCAACAAACTTGGGCTCCGCTTTTAACTTTAGAAAATCCAAACATGATTCAAAATATTCATTATTAGGCCATGGACCACATGGAAAGCAAGTTGTAGAATATTTACTGAATGAGTTTGGTGAGGATGGAATTCTTCAATTTTGCCAGAGATGGAGACAAGTTTTCGTTGAAGCAGTTCATCCTCGTTTTCTACCCGCTGGCTGGGACGTGAACCACAGGTAGGTTTCTGGTGTAAGAATATGTTAAGTTGCAATGCAGTTTGTAGCCAGTTTATATTATTAAAATCATGCAATGCATAACTGAAATTAGTATTGGCAAATTCGAGAAAGAAGCAGTTGGTGTTTACATTAGATCTAAGTTTGCCTAGCAAAGGTTGTGTTATGGACTTCAAGACTTAAAGAGGCGTTGGTCTTACATGGAAACAAACAAATTAAGAACTTAATCTTTGTTTGGCTTTGTTTGGTCTTGTTTATTGCAAACTGTAGCTAAAATCATTTATCTTTTCTATTTTTGCTTAAAATGTTGGACCAATGTTTGTTTCTGTCATCCAATGTAAGAAAGTAGACAGCGTAAATCGGTCATGCTATCCTATTTTGAATCAGATGTTGAGGAAATAAAGTTGATTCTCATTTGGGCAAAGATTTGATGTTGGACGGTTTTTTGCCAGTGGTAGAAGGGACTTTGGAGATTTCAGTGTATACAAACCTGTGAAGAAGAATTCTGAATTTGCTGAGGAAGGAGTTGGATCTGCTCCAGTGAATCAGTAATCAACAGTGTTCTTTGACATGGCACTGTATTATTGAACATTGTACCTGCTGTATATCTTTCTTTTATTCATTTATTTTTATGGCCAGTTTGCTACTTTAGTGTTCTTTGGGTGTTTGCTTTTGTTTTTATTTTTATTTTTTTTATGGTTGGAACCAAGATAAGTGCTATTGTTTAATTTGTTGTAAAACAGAAAGTTTAAGAATACATGTGATTGATTGAATACATTATGAGCTCTTTTCTTTTTTTGTTCTTTTTGAAACTGAAATTTTTTTTTTGTAACACAAACCCAGAATTTGTCAAATTTGAGAAGCTAACGTTGTTATGTTAGATGGGCAAATCCTGCCACCTTCACAAGTGGACAAAATTCAAACTAAACAGTGATAACATTCATAACAGTATTATTAAACAAAAAGAACCCAACAGAACGACAAAGGTAAAGCACAAAGGAAAATTAAAGTCTGAAAGTTTTTGTACTGATCTTCAAAATTTTGGAGAGGAATTGTCATCCATGTTGGCCATAACCACTATTTAACTATCGACAGTGCCAACAATTCTTTGGTGCAGTCTTTAAGAACTGATACTTTCAGGTTTGCGACATCAACCACAAAAAATTTCTCTACATTTGGTATCAGAATGTGATCATTGCCGGCCGAGCCAAAGGAGTGACTCAGCAAATACGGGGAAGAGAAAAGAAATCCCTGCAACAAACCGTCTTTCATCTCACTCCAGCACCACTATTTTCACTTTCCAGATCTATGGTTCAGGAAATAGGATCTGCTCAAAAACAGACGAAACGGTGCACATCAGTTATGACAAATATTTTCTTTATTTAAAGTGAAGGCTACTACAGCTTGAACCAGAGATGCATCAACCATACCGGTAAAGAAAACGTACATTCACCACGAGCTTGGCTACAAAAGCAATAGTTGAGATTTGTGATCAATGCCATTCAAGATAAATGTCCCACGCATGGGAACAAACTGTCTTGTGATGAGCTGCATTAAGACAAAAAAAGGGGAGAACAAGTCAAAGTCAGAACTGACAAGATACGAGTTCCCATCAAGGTAGCAATACAAAAATTCAGTTCTAACCTTGATCACCTCCTGCGATGCAATTCCGCCAATGAGAGCAGCAACGGCATGAAGTTCTGCAGCACCATATCGACACATTTCACTGATGAGATCGTCAATCAAGGATGAACCATTGCAGCCTACATCGCCGAGCAGGCTGACAGCAATACTTTTCAACCTTGAGATGTCCTCATCCATTCCACTGCAAATGATTAGTTATACGTGAATGACGGTGATCATAACAATCAACGAATGTTGGTAAACAAAAAGTAGTACCTATCAAACTGGCCAGGGAAACTATTATAGTTTGCGGCAAAACGATCAACAGCACGAAGCAGAATGTAGAACCCTGTGGCGTAACTGCAATCAATATGCAACAAAGAAAACATGAGGTGTATAACAATAAGCATATGCATTGTGACAACTGATACACCTTGAACCAAATTACCGGGCAAACATATGTCCGGTTTTTCATTTTTACACCCCCATTTGAAAGATACTTTCGATTGCAGCCTATTATTGTATCTTTAATCTCATAACATTACTTTCTGGGCGCTAAAGACCTCATATTCAGTTACAATCTGAATTAAAGACAAGGTTTCCAATGCAATCTAGCAACTTTACCAATTGAATGAGGATGGCAGATCTTTATCAAACTTGTCCATGCTTCTAGGAAAGGAAACTTCAAATTAGAACACAAGGATCTTGATATCAACTAGTAGGGATGGAAACCATGTAATAAGCTAATAGCAAATCTAGAAGTGCGTCACAATACAAAGATGTTGAATACAGCAAGTTAAAACTTTTATTTTATGAGCTATTATTCAAGTTTCAATTTTAATATGAATATAAGCAGCAGAAGTAACTGTAAAAGTTGACATGACTTATTCAAAATTCTATTTTTGAAAAAGACAGTTTTGGTGCCAGTGGAAACTTGTAAGTATAATTACCTATATTCTTCATCAGTCAGGCACTTCTGTAACTCTGCTTGGACAGGAGTGCTAAACTCATCCTCTATAGAGCGGTATCTGCAAACCTTATGGACAAAAAAAAGATAAAGATGCCTCAGCTACTTTGTAAATTGATCTCAGAAATTTTAACGTGTAAACTGAAAAACTAATTTCGCCACCCTTCCCCCCCCCCCCTCACAAATGGTGGTATATATAGAGATAAGGTGGGGAATATTTCTTGGAAATAAAAGGAAAAAAAAAACAAAGGGCTATCCTTCACTATCCCTGCTCTTCCAACTAAAGAGAAAAACATGTAACCCATAAATAGACCATATTTAACCATAAAAAAAATTACATGATACGCAGCCATCAATAGTTCCAGAACTGCCATAAGCAAGGAAAGAAGTCCTTTTGTGTTTAGTCACATATTCCATATTGGGAACAAGCGTCAAATAGGAACTATGATTCTGGAAGCAAAAGCATCTTAAATCTTTAAGGCTTCAGAAATATAATCAAATGTTGTCCAACTAGTTATGGGTATGACCTATGCAGTTTCTCAGATGTTATTGCTGAAGGTAAATCTGAAAACCAGAAGTGAAATTCTGTTTAGACTGTTAAAATGAACTATTTTGCAAGATTGAGCACACTTACTCGGAGCTTTCTCGCATTTTTACAGACACTTTTTATGTTTGCCTTTGTGATGCTGTATGGATCTCTACCAATTCTTTTCAGTATATCCCTGACCCTTCGTTCCACAGCAAGAAAATCTGCCTCAGCCTTCGCTTGATAAATCTTCTGTAAATTTACATACAACCTAAAACATAGATGGCAATACATTGTCTATTAAAGAAAACAAAAACGGCAATAGGTTCATATCATAAAAAGAAAACTGATCATCAAAGATAAACGCTTAGCTACTTACTCAGTAGACGATGTCATATCTGGAATCGATCCCTCAAGAGGTGCCTCGCCCTCACCTTCATTAGCTATGAACTCCTGCATGATGCAAGATATCAGGATCATCAAGTTGGTCCAAAGGCAGATTCAAGATTTTAAAAGACGGGGTAAAGAACTTCACAAAGTTAAAATGTTACAACAGAACTCCGACTCATTCATCAAGAAACAATGGTTACTAATAATTTTATAATAATAGCAAGCACATTCATAATAAGTATGGGATCACCTTTAAAGCTGCTACAATCACCCAAAAATCTGATGAACCGGAATCAACCTCGGCACAGCTATCATTAATTATCTTCTGCACTTCAGAACCTAGATTGCAAAGAGAAAAGAAACTGAATTTACATTTCCGCTAAGAATGCAGTATATTAATGAAGGAAACAACATAGAAACATATATCATCTCAACAATCATAACCTGATCATCAAGCATACATCAGTAATCAGAATTGTGATAGATCGACACAGAAAATAATTCCAACCAGGACAAGAGATCAGAATTTGAGGAAACTGCCCAATGATAACAAATAATAAAATATCTGATAGACAAACCAGTTTAAACCATGTTTTGGTCATAGATGGCAACAATTCCTAATCAACCAGAATTCAATGGACTATCACATAAAAGCACCAGATATCGTGTTATGTATGGGCAACCACATACAATGAACTTAACAATCTGCATAAGCTCATACAACTTACTAATTCCTCTAGGCGCAAACAATTTGAATGACGCTTCCATTGCCTCTTTATAATTGTCCTCATCCATTGCAACCATCCTGGCTTTGATTAGTTCCTAAAACATTTAAAATGACAACCATCTCAGAAAAAGAAGCACAGTAGAATCTAATGCAAGTAGTACCACATCTTCAACCTTGAATTGTTTCTTCTCATCCCTACTTGATGGAAGACTTCCACTGTGACTTTTGGCCCACTCTTCTGCCAATTTAACGAGAATGATCACATATGGAGTGTGCTTATGGACGACTGGATCCGATGTGTCCAAATCAATTGTTTCAGCAAAACTATCAGTACAAACCATGCCATCAGGAAATACTAAACCAAAAAGATAAAACAGTAAAATTATAGTGCACACTCAAAAGTTATTGCTTGGCAAAATATGGTAAACTGTGCTGGCAACAGTAATAAGGAGAACAATAAGAAGTATATAATGTCGTTCCAAAATATCCAGAAAAAAATCCCATAATTTTGCAACCTGGGAGACATTTTCATTTTACAAAAGCAATTCCCACACATATAAACGTTCACAAAAAGTAAAACCTCCACATGCAGAACGATCATGGCTAACCTTCTAAGCTGCGGCCATGGGTTATTTAGCCGGAGATCATCCAAAAAGTGGTCAGGCTTTGACTCGATAACAGTATGCTCCTGCAATTGGAAGCAACGCATGAAATACAATCTACAGAAGGATCTCGAGCTCGCTGTCAAAGTTAACATCTGATTTATTCACTTTCTACTTAGTCCAGATTTCCATCAACACAAAATTACTACTTATTTCATCAGTTATTCCATTTTACCCCTTGAGTTAGTAATAGGGGCAGTTACTTTTTCGTACTCATCTTGGCACAACGAGAATAACTACTCAAGATCATTTGATCACAATCAGAGGATAACTCTTAAATCTAACAAAGTTTAAGAAATTTACAAACTGCATCTTACTTGGCTGAGGGTGCAAGGGATTTTTTATACTTTTCCCTTTAGATCATAATATGTGCAACATCACAAAACTAACATTTCCAAAAGTGGAATGTAACACTGGGAAATTCAAAAGCAAAAAAGCAACAGAGTTACCTTCACACTATTCCGTACAAGACCAGTTAAACCATACGAGCGTGCGAACACCAACATAACATTTGCATCACGGCAGATTCTGTCCAACTTTACCATCGTATCTTCAACCAACTGAAACAAAAAGTTTCACATTTTTCAAAAATTTTATTTGATGATGTGATGCAACTTCTTTATAAATGTAAAAGCAACAACAAACATAGCTTTAAAACACCATACGCCTGGTTTGAGATTATTCACACATCAATCACTATATAAACTTCCAGATAATGCAGTTTTCCTCATTTATCCAGTCAAAAGAATTCCACAACAGCTAGACAGTAGAGCAGGTCTAATATTTTTGTGCCCTAACAATGGGTATGTACATTGCTGGTACATCCCACTGGCAGTAACTATGCCATCAAGTTATGATTTATGCATATCTAACCACATGTTTGAAAAGCTTCATCAAAACATTGATTCAGTGAAAAGTACGCATAATCAGTCATGTCACAAGCGTTGCCTTCAGAGATTTCATGGGATGGCATTTCCAAGTACACACAGACACAGTCAGATTATGCAAGGATGTAACAAATTTTGATTATAACTCATCATACCCGACTCCTTTCCAATGGCAATGCACATGTTCCTTTAATTATTACAATAAATTAAAATTCATTTCATGGACAAAGAGGTGGTTTTCCCATAATGAAGCGCAGCATCATAATTAAGCACCAATCAATGCCAGTCCAAAATGTGATTAGTTTGATACTTCATGGCAGCTTTCTAAAATAATACTAAAATGTAAAACCAGAATTACTGTCAAACATGATAAATCCTACGAATAATGTTTTTGTCAAAAATCATGGAACAATAAAACAATAAGAGATGGCTCTGTAGTACTTCAGATGCAGAAGTACCTTAAGCCAACTTTCATTCAAAAAGATTAAACACTAACAGGTAGAAAAGCATATTACATAGTATAACTGTTACAGGCAACCACTAGAAAAACACGTGATACCTGTGTGGCTACAACCAGTGTGAACTCTGAGAAAAATGATGGATTAGTCTCAATCAAAGCCTCAGGAGATTCTTCAATAAACTTAGCTTTAACAGCATCGTTCAACTCCTGAAGAAACGTACAAACACATTTTGCCTTTGACTGTCCAACACATGATTCATCCACTAGAAAATCACCAAAATATCACAATCAGTACAATTCCCATAAAACAACACATAAATACAGTTTTTATCATGATAAAAAGGAATCGAGTGCATTAGTAGCATAACTGTCTCTCTTAAATGACACATGAAAGAGAGACAATACCAACGCTGCATGCTTTAAAGCTCACCAAAATAGTTATTCCCCAGGTCACTGACTTCAACTTTACATCCATCAACGACAGTGATGCTTCCAACCCCACCTAGTACAAGATTCTTTAAGGTCTCGGAACCAGTGGGCCCACAATTCAATAAACATATACTCGCTTTCTCAAGCGCAGCCTGTCCTTGCTCACCCCATATTCTGAAAACAACACAAGAATAAACAAACAATCAGCAAAACGAAAAGTACGAGTTCAAATTTTCCTCTACTATTTTTAAATGGGTGTTGATACTGGTTGGGAATAATGACAGCTTCAGTCCCTCTTCCATCCAGCTTTGAAAATTGAAGATATACTTCTACTTATATTTAACAATTAATTAGATGATACTGCACCATCATAGTTAAAAAAGACATGTAGACTGCATATAAAAACATGCCGAGTCCTACAAACCATATCAAGTGAACAATCACCAACTCAACCAATTCAATGAAGTAAATAAACTACACAAACTTATCCAATTTACTTCCGTTCAAAATAATCAAATAACTTACAATAAACCCTAACAACCAGAAACATAATGTACATGATTGCGAACGGCATAACTACACTTCTAGGGCAAGAAATCACCCGGATGCAACGATTAACACAGCGAAAACAAATTGCAGAAGGAGGAATCGGTGACTAAGAAAATAATAGTAAAGTAGCGAGCTCCAGAGTTACCTCAACTGACGATCATACTTGGTTTTGGGTTCCGCCATTACTGTCTGCTAAAGAGAGAGCTTGAGTATGGAAGCGAAAGATTTTTATTTATTTATTTATTTATTTTTTGCTTTCTTTTCACGCTTTGCTCCTTCGGAACGACGGATTAATATGAACAGCCTCAAAATTAAACGAAAATTATTTGCAATTAGATCCTCGTATTTAAATGAATTTCTGGTTTGACCTCTAAAAAACCTTTTACTGTACGTCACTAGCGAAGAGTTTTAAAATCGTCCAAAACCACGCCTTTGAGTTAAAATACCAAAGTCGTGTAATCAGAGTAACGATGGTTTTTCACGCTTTCATTATTTCTGTTTTCTCCGATATATGTCATCATCACTGGTCTGTTTTCTAACCTAGTATCAGAACAGAGTAAAGGACGGAGGAAAGCCTCAAACGCCGCCGTGTTTACTGCTTCCGCCGCTGTTAATCGAGCCGTCAGCAAGTTTTCCGGTAAGCCGACCACTTCCTTTTGCTGCGAGATACAACAACACTTTCTTGTATTTATACTTTTGGGTGGGAAGTTTTGGTGATTTTTTTTTAAAAATTTTTGAAGGTTATAACAGTAGACAAGAGGGAAGAGCTCAGAAGCTCCAAAGTACGATGCCTCGTACGACGACGTTAGATACTCCCGGTTGTCCGCCGCTTCGAGCCTTGGCTTTTGATAGTCTTGGTTTGATTAAAGGTAAATTACTCTATTTCTGCTTCTTCTAAAATAGTGGTTCTTTTCGGGAATATGAAGTTTTGCGAGTCTGCTGTATTTTCCCATCATTTTGTTCATATGTCTTAAATTGGTGGTTTTTTTTCCAGTCGTTGAATGTAAAGGGGAGGAGAAAGGAGCTGCTAAGATGGTGGAAAAATGGGGACAACCTGATGCTTCCAGCGCTGTGGTAGCTGCATCCATTTTGGACCGTGAATTCAACCCTGTATGTATTTGTAAATTATTCAGTGTGATCAACTAGTACTTCGTTTTTCTTGCTAGAACGAAACTTACTGCTGGTCACATTCTAATTCAAATTCAAGCTGCATAATACAAAAAAAAATTGAGGACGTTTCTCCTATTTCATCCACCATGGAGTATGTAAACTTAATTTAGTAGAGATTTAATCTTGTCATCAGAACTTTTAAATATTGTTGAGAGAAGTTTCATCTCTGTGTGTACATAATCGGTATAAAACATCAACCTATTTTACCAATGTGGCTCTCCTATGGTATGTCCCTTTGTGTCTGACGACTTATGTTTTGATTGATTGGAAACTAATCCATTTATTTACATATTTTGTAAATTGTTGCAGCTGTTGGCTGTCGCTAGGAAAAATGGCTCAGTGAGTTCTTTCTTCGTACTTTACGCAAGAAACAGCTAAGCAATTGATACCTGTTCTTGCTTATATTGATTTTTTGTCACTCCAATCCCCAGGTTGATATTCTAACTCCTGTAAATGGAGCTATTCAAGCTTCCATCAGCAATTTGAGTCAAACACAGGACAGTCCTCAGGATAATGCTATTGTTGGCTTGCATTTGTTCAAGAAGCCATGGTCGGAATCATCATTGAGGTAAAACCTTGACTTGTTACGGAGGCTTTCTCAATTATTTAGGTTGGCATTTGATTTACATTGGTGAGATTTGTGATAAGGATTGAAACACGTTTCTTATATGTATTTTCAGTCCGCATTGCCTTCTTTTTATCAAAGAGTTAAGTCACACAATGCAAGTTGCATTTATTTAGGTCATATACCTTTCTTACAAGTACCATCAAAGGGTGTGCCAGCATCAGGAGTTTTGAACTTCCAGAATCAAGAGCAGAAATCGTCTCTGATGTTACACAAACAACATGGAGTACAAGTGGTTCTGGTGAAACGTTATTCTTGAAAGTCGACGGAAGTGAATGCTATTCATTATTTGGAGGGTCAGTATATTATGGTTAAAGACTTAAAAGTAGAAGGTTCTGTTATGTGCATTTAAATTATACTTCCAAATCACTTTCTCATCATTCTGCTGACTATGGAATGCTCCTACCTCCTGTTTTAGGAAGGGTGTTGAGGTTAATGTGTGGGACCTTCTTACAAGTACAAAAATTTGGACAGCTAAATCTGTAAGTTTCTCATGTTCTTTATCTTCTTTTCAAATGAAGAACCTCGGCTCTTTCTTAACTACTTCTTTCCACCCGCTGCAGCCTGCTAAAAACAACCTTGGAATATTTACACCAACCTGGTTCACATCTGCATCTTTTTTAAGTAAAGATGACCATAGGAAATTTGTGTCGGGCACACATAACCACCAGGTAGACTTTTATTGATCTGCAATCAGTGCATAAGTTATATCAACTTTGAGAATGTAAATGGTGTACTTCCCTCTTGCTCCTTGAGCTGTTCTTGTGCTCTTCTATCTTTTAAAATGGCATGTCATACTGTTACGTTGTACATGTATTTCGGCTTTGAGGGTTTATCATAGTTCTGTTTTTGAAGTTAAAGCATGTGTTTACTAATTGCTACTGTGTGTGGATAGTGTAATGTGTTGTTATGTAGTTATAGTGCTGCTAATATGTTTAGGGGCTAGCAAGTTGTGGGCATCAAACAATCAGGGTTTAAATTGTGATACCAGTTTTCTTGTTACGGTTATATCTCAGCCTCAAAATGAGCGTTACGGAGGAACATGATTTACTTAGAGTGGATGAATTAATTCCCAGATTTTCCTAATTACAAACCCCCCACCCCCCCGCCCTTCTCCTCCCTTAGCCTTGTTTACTTGCTTGTTACCATTTTCTGAGTCTGACCTGGTAAAATGATAAAATTTTCAGGTGCGCCTTTATGATACTTCCGCACAAAGAAGGCCAGTTATGTCATTTGATTTTCGGGACACCCCTATTAAAGCAGTATCTGGAGATCTAGATGGCCAAACAATTTATGTAGGCAATGGTTCTGGAGACCTAGCTTCTTTTGACATACGTACAGGTGGGTTAAGCCATGATACTGAAACAGTATTTCTTTTCTTTTTCCCTAGCTTTTGGTCCATGAGTGTCATTTTGGTACATTTTATTTTAGTTTTTTTTATTGTCATGTATCAGAATGTCATCCCATTTGGAATTGTAAAGAATATGTGGCAAGTGAGAGTTAATGGAATTCTGGTCCTAGTATTTTTCAGTTTTCTTTTTTTTTTTTCCTTTTCTTTTCCCTGTGCCCAGGGAGGATTGGGGGTGTTTGTTTGGATTTAGATTTAGTGTGAATGTCGGGGGACTGTGGCCCATGTGATTTCAGGTTCAGTTTTCGAGCTTTAAGATGTTCATAATTGCTGTGGCTAGCTTAATTTCCCGAGCAACAGATCAATGCCGTTAAGAGGTGTGTGGATCAATGCTGTTGAGAGATTTTGGAGCTAGATTTATTTTTCACTCTTTTGGACTCTGTATAAGCTTGGTTCACTTGGCCTTAAAGTGAACCTTTGCTGCCAAACTCTGTGGTTCAAGTATAGCTTCCAAAACGTGGTGGTTGCTTAGGAATTTAAGTACGCAATGCACCAAGTCAAGTATCAAGAGGGATGGCCTAGTCAAACATATCTTTATGAAGATCTAACATGTTAAATTTATTTTTCTTCCCTATTCTTCTTTTTTTAGGGAACTAATGATTTCTTTTTAGAAAGTTTCTTTAGGTTATCATTTCTTGATTCAAGCATTAATGTTCCACAGCTTTTCTGACACGTCTTCTTCTGTGTTGTTATTTTACCATGTTGTAAATCTCTTACTTCATTCACATCAATTGTTTGTTGTCTAATACTTTATGGTGATATGAAGATATTCGCTTGACCTCTGCCTTTCATAAACATGCCTGTTATGATTATATGAGGTTGGTAGTGAAGCTAACAGTTGGAAACTGTTTTGATATCAGGGAAACTGTTGGGAAGCTTTGTGGGTAAATGTGCTGGGAGTATAAGATCCATAGTGAGGCACCCAGAGCTTCCCGTATTGGCATCATGTGGTACGTATTTCGGAGATACCTAATTTTAGTTTATATGGGGTTGTAATGAATTTGAGGTATGTTGATGTTCCCGTTTAAATTGAATTGAACTACCATGATAACCATATTAAATCGGGTAGCCAGTAAAGTCCGTAGAACTAGGGCATTTGCATAATGGATTCATGTAAGAAACATCAAAGCACTAATATGGTAAAAGTTCCATAAGCTGAATATATTATTTAGATGATCAGAAGGGAAAATGGATTTATCTAAACACAAAAAAAAAAATACTTTGGGCAGATGACCTACTTCTTATAGTCAAAGGCCTTCCTGATTCTATGGAAAATGACTGGAAGAAACTGAAGCGATAGCAGTAAACCTTAGTAGCATGATTTCCGGATTTGCTCTTATTCCAATAGTTTTAGGGCTGGGATCATCTGATTCCTAGAATACTTACACTAATAGACTGGGGCTGTTCTTTTCCAGTCTACACATTCATTTTTTATGGGTGAACTGTGAAGAATTGCAGGAGTAGGTGGTTTCTCGCTTTCAAGTGTTTATAACTGATACAAGGAACTTGTTTTCCAGGACTAGACAGCTATTTACGGTTTTGGGACATAAACTCACGGCAACTTTTGTCCGCGGTATGTGTCCAAATTCCTGTTGTGTGGTTGATCTTTGAATCAACTTTATTGCATACTAAATGAAGGCTCCTGATAAGATTGTTATGAACATTTCATCTGTTAGTGCTTTTGTTGCATGATATATGCTATTTCTTGGTATATGAAAAGATAATCTCTACTAGCCTATTTCATGAGTCGCATAACTAGTGTGAAAAATGTGAACTTTTGAGCCTAAGATCTGGACATGTGACCACCTCAACTCAAATTGGCTTATTAAAAAAGTTGCACGAAAGACTAGTTGTTCGACCTTTAGGGGCAGAATTTCAACTCTCACCGTGTAACATATTTGTTTCTGAGAATGAATAAGTTGATTCACTGTTCACCTGCTCTTCCTGTATGTATCATTTATGTTAATCCTTACATATTCCATTAACATTCTTCTGAAAATTTGTGTGCAGGTTTTCTTGAAGCAGCCTCTTACTGATGTTGTGTTTGATTCTTATTTTGGAAATAAAGGTGGGTCTATTTAATTTGATACTATTGTTTTAGCGCATTGCAGGCAGAGTCCATTTTGTTGATGGGTTGCTGTAGAATGTAGATGTCGTAGATGTATGTTGAATTTTATGTTCTCTCCAGTTTCCCTAAGACCTTTTTTGGTTCCTTGACCTTGTTTTATGCTTTGGTGGGTATGTTAACCGTTGCAATGGAGGCTAGTGGTTTTGTCTTTTCCCAAAGCCACGAATTTCTGTGATTATCCTCTTAGGCAATGTCTGGTGTTTTTAATTTCATTATCTTGATTTCCGTTTCTTGCTTCTATTTGTTGTCACGAAAGAGTGGAAGATATTGGGTACATGAAAGATCTGCTACTGTAGGTCCAGTTGGACATGAAAGTAACTTAGAGATGGTATTTTTGATCATGCAGAAGTTGCTCCTGCTCTTGATTTGCAACCTCAGTTGGAGTGTTTAAGTGAAATATCAGATGGTGAGGAAGATATGGCACCACGTAAAAGGAAGAAGACATCTAAAAAACACAAGGAAAGCAAAAAGCTGAAGTTGAGCAAAACGGGCATGCATGGGTCTGGAGACGTCAGTGAGATTTTGGATAGCAGTGAAGAAAACACGCTCCAAGATACAAGGAAAAAAGCATCCAAAGCTCACAAGAGAAGCGACAAGCTAAAATCGAAGAGAACGAAGCAGTGAAAGAGGTTTCTTTTCACCTGAAAGAAAGGGGAATGATCTTTGCATGCACCTTGCATGACAGGTACCTTGTTACAACTTCTTTCCTGTAACTAATAGTCTGATGAAGACAGGGCCGCATCAGGGTGATTTTGGTTAAAGGATCCCAATGTGTAAAGCTTGGGAGTTGGGACTGATATTTACTTGAACAAACTGATGATGTCTTCAACCAACATATGATCCTAAATTTTGACTGTAGCTGATTTTGCTTTAAGATTGGAAAGAATATAATATATTTGCTAGTGCATTTAATTGATTGATGAGAAAGACAACAAATTTGGTGTCTTTTTATCGGAATATCTTTAATGTGTAACAATTTGATACTCCATCTGGTTAATAAAATGTGATGGGATGTATACTGTGGGTAATCCAACAAAGTGGTCTGTATAAGTATTAAGATGGGACAGAAAGAGTATTAATGTTTGGGATTAACGGAACCATTAGTAGAAAGTGGCTCTGTTTGAACATTTTGTTGGGATTATTACCTCACAAGTCCTTGCCAGGTAATATTTTATAAAGTGGAAGTGGAAAACTTGAAACCGTCTTCCTACTTGGCATGCAAATTGTTCAGTGTTGACATTCATTTTGTTGTTTACTGAACCTTTTGGTTGGCCAAATGTCTTTTTGTTTTTATTTTCTAGGAACAAAAATCATCTTGTATACAAGTATATTGACATTGTCACAAAGTGGGTTTTGTGAATTTTCATACCTTTTTCATAATTAGCCTTGTAGGTTTAGCGACAAACAAAAAATGTATAGGGTCTTAAAATAATCTGCTCCATCTTAAAGTTGTTGCCATCTGCAGAATAAAACAGCTAGGAGGGCTAAAGGAATCGTCAAGAGTCAAAAGAGCATTAAGGAAAGTTCCTTGATCCTTCAAATGATTTGATGTTTTCTGCGATCAAAGTAAATGTAAGGGATTTGGGGACCATAGAAAGGAAGGCATTCCCCCCAAGAGTTCAGTCCCCCCAAACACAATCATTGAATCCCACACACATTAGAAATACTTGGAATTATTGGTTGTACGATTAGCCTAATGAAATATATAGATATTCTCCTAAAAGAATTTGAGATCCTAACCAGAGTGGCAAAGTCCCTTATATGGTTTAACAATGTAGAATACTTAAACCAGTTTGGAGAGCACTTGGACCAATTCCAAAGTGCATTTCCATCAAAATGAAAAGCATTGCTTATTAATGATTTCGTACAGCGAACATATTTTTTTATTATTTTTGTGGCGGATGGATTTACATACATAGAAAAGATTTTTTTTTTTTTTTTTTTAAAGAAAAACACATATATAAGCAGCACAATGTTTGAGCTTATAAGCAGCACAATTTCGTACCTTTAAATGTTTTGATTGTTCATTTCATCAAACTTTTCACCCCAACTCCTTTCTTTCCACAAGCCTAACTAATTGAAGGACACAATTGATCTATAGACCACGCAAACATAATCAAAATTATATAACTAGATTTGTTATCTTTTGGTAAGATATAAGAATTCTGTCTAAATAAAACATCTATCCTAATAAAACTCTCATTTTAAGACGGATGGCGTCCATTACTTACCAGCGTCCTTAAACAACAACTAAAAGACCAAATCTTACAAAAATACAAACGCAAATTGAGTTGCGCCACTTTGCCTTCTTTCAGACTCTGTAAAGGCCAAATACTCCAACCAATCTCAAATAAACACCAATAAACAAAAATAAAAAATAAAAAATCAAAAGAATTCGAATTGCATAAAAAACTGTACATATTAAAAAAATTCATTTCAAAAGAGAGAAAAGAAAAAGAAGTATAAAATCTCCGCTCCTCCCTTTCCGTTAAGTCTTCAGGCACACAACCCTAGGACTGAGCTCTCCACACGCCGGCTGGATTGCTCCTTTTTGGCCCATAATCATCCCCCAAACCGAAATCCCAGAAAATCCTTATCATCATTATCGCCATCATATTCAATCAATCCATCAACCTCCCCCATCTCCCATGCTCATGCTATAAATTCCAGTTTGTCCGCAAGCAATCATGATGTATAAGAACATCGCAACCTCCTCACTCCTCAAAAAAGCCTCTTCCACCAGGCATTTCAATTCTTTGTCTTCTTCCGGTGCGCAGCGTCACGCCGTCGCCGGAGTTGAGGCGGCCTCGTCGACAGCTGTCAATCGCACGAGCAGCGCCGCTGGTGGCAGTAAGATTGCCGCGAGTAGCAGTGGGAATCCGAGGATTTCGAGCCTCTCATCGGCGCTTAGGTCCGTTCGTTCGTCGGTACCGCGGTGGAGCCACGGCGTTGACTGGAAGTCGCCGGCGAGTTTGAGTTCTCAGATCAGGACTCGTTCTTCCCCTCTTTCCAACGTTCTGTATCGCAAGATCGCCACCATGGGTAATTTCGTAATTTGACGACGCTAATAATTCAGCTTTAATATTTTTAGTATCAATCATGATCAGTTGATCATCATCATCATCATCATCATAAAAAATGGCTGTAAATGATGATGAATTTTCTTAATGTGCGGTACCGGTATGGGTACATTGGTAAATTACTTTTTAATTAAAGTTAGGTTGTGATGCATTGCTTAATAGTTACGTGTGCTCTGCATATTTTTATTATTTTTTTGATGTGATGGACAAATAATTGAGTTGACTTTACCGCTCCGATCGTGGGGTGGCAGATTCTTCAAGTTGACTTGGGATTTTTGTTGGTTTTGATGAGCTGTGAAAATGAATAAAGCTTAACACCACTTGATTAAAGTAAGAAAATGATAAATATGAGCTTTAGGGGGCGGAGAACAGATAATATTTATGAATTTTTGTTTGGAACCTTTCTGCCATCTGTGAGTTCTCTTAAAGGAATTTTGTTTCCAATTATTTGTTACGAAGTCAAATAGGATGCACGTTTCTTATTTCTGTTTCATGATGCTTAATTTTATTTTAATTACTGTGGTTTGATCCCGCAAGGATGAACTGTTTGGGGGTTGTAAATTCATGTTTGATTAGAATTGTTTTAAATGCATGGTTTAATTTTGAAGAATGAAGGCATTAGGTCATCTTTTGAAATAGTTGGTCTGCTTTCTGTTGTGGTACTCTGTTTGGTGCAAAAGTTATTTATTTGACTTATATGGTGTTCCATTTTTCCTGTATACAGCATCCGAGCATGAATTCAAACAAATTCTGACCACTCTTCCGAAGCCAGGGGGCGGTGAATTTGGAAAGTTCTATAGCCTACCTGCTCTGAATGATCCAAGGATCGGTAATTTTACTGAACCCTTGTCTAATCAATGTGTATATACTACCGGGTTTGTGTTGGTTGAATTTATACCTTCAATTAGTTTCTGTGGGTTTTTCTTGCCTTATGTTCCCCCAACTCTCTACTATCCTTCTGTGTAATATGTCAAGTCCATAGTGAGACTCATCTCAGAAAATATCCAACAATTTACACTTGTTGAATATGTTGAATTTATTATTTGTTGACAATGTTGCAAATTCAGATTGTAGCTTCATAGATTTATTAGAAAGTAAAAAATGTATATCTTACTGTTTTCAAGTGAAATTAGTGATGAGCTCAGTTACATCGATGCAGATGGCTCATTTATCATTCATAAAATGATATCTTCCCTCAAATTCATATGTCATCTAAAATTTTGTATCTTAATGAGTATTGCTTGAGATGTTGCTAGTTCAAAAAGTGATTATTTCAAATCTATTTATTCTTCAATTAATGCCGATCTAAGTATAAATGAGCCAATTTATTCTTGCCCTACTGATGTTTTTCAATTTAGCAAATATATGGGGAACTTTTGTGGTCCTTGACATTGTTGAGATCACAAATAATAGGCTTGACCTAATATTTGGATAATTTTACTTCCTTTCCTTTTTCAAAAAAAAAAAAAAATCTAAAAAATAATAATGTATAATAGGTGGAATGTGATCAAGATTCTGGCATGTATGTAGTTTAATGTGTACATGTGTAATTTGGTGTTGATATAATTAGGTTTTTTCCTACAACTTGTTAACCTTAGTGGAAAGGGAAAAGAGAAAGGAGGGAAATGGAAGCATCAATCCAGCTACACCATTTGTTATCATAGCCTACCAGAATGATTTGACTCTATGATTGTAAAAGCTAATTTATGAATCATTTCCTTAAATTAATAATTGGATGTATTTGATATAGTATGGTATACTTTTATTGTGATCCATGGTTCTTTACTTAGGGATATGTTTTTCATTCTAAACCCCAAATCCAGGCAATAAGTAAAGTTTCTAATGGAAGTATGCTAGTTTTGGTGTTATATATTATCTTCTTCTGAGAATAATTTGTCCATGTTTTAGGAATCTCTGCAATATGGCATTTATTGTTACCTTTGTTATTGCTTTCTTGTTTATTAACTTCTTTGCTGCATGTCAGATAAGTTGCCATACTCCATTAGAATCCTTCTTGAGTCAGCCATACGTAACTGTGATGGATTTCAAGTTACAAAGGAAGATGTCGAGAAGATTATTGATTGGAAAAATACATCACCGAAGCAAGTTGAAATACCCTTCAAGCCTGCACGCGTGCTTCTGCAGGTACTGGTGATGATTTTTAATGGATAATTTGTTACGGGTATCTGTTGGATTTAATCTCATTCCCTTTTGATTTGTTTTCCTGTTTACAGGACTTCACTGGTGTGCCAGCTGTGGTTGACCTTGCTTGCATGCGTGATGCCATGAACAAACTTGGCAGTGATTCGGACAAGATCAATCCATTGGTATTTATAATTTTATATTTCATTTGTTTGTTATCCCGTCATTGTTGACTTTCAGGATTTTTCCTACTTAAACAGTAAAGTAGAAATGATGGATTACTTAAGTTAGATTAGTCAGCTGCTTTTCGAACTTCGATCGTTGTTTGAATTTAGTTTCATTTGTTTTTATTCCTGTGGTCCCAGTTTATTAACATGGTGATTGAATTCTGTATAGTATCTTTGAGAAAGTTGTATTATTAGAAATGAGTAATTTTATTACTGATTGACGATGTTGGTTTGTGGTTGCAAGTAAAAGTGCATTATTTCATTCGAACTGTGAGTAGGAATGGTTGACCCATACTATCTGGTTCTTTGAGCTTTTCATTCGTTGATTCAAGGAATGGTTGATTCAATAACCTCCGTCTTGGTGTAGGTTCCTGTGGATCTGGTGATAGATCACTCAGTTCAAGTTGATGTCACAAGGTCAGAGAATGCAGTGCAAGAAAATATGGAGCGTGAATTCCAGAGAAACAAGGAGAGATTTGCTTTCCTCAAGTGGGGATCCAATGCTTTTACAAACATGCTGGTTGTGCCTCCCGGTTCTGGAATTGTGCATCAGGTAATGGGAGCTAAAAGCAAAATGAGCCATTGATTTAATAGACGTTGAATGTTTAGTGATGCAGAAGGGAATGAAGCTCCTGCAACTAGAGCTTCCGTCTTCCTGTTTTTGCCTTTTCCCTTCTTAAAGTTAAAGTGTCTAACATCTTCCAGTTCACTTGCTTTTCTTCCCTTTGTCTCCTTCCTTGCAGCTAGATAACCCAGTTCTGATGATTAACTTTCTTTTCCTGTGTATTAGGTCAATCTGGAATATCTTGGTCGAGTTGTTTTCAACACTGATGGCATCCTTTACCCTGATAGTGTGGTTGGTACAGATTCCCACACCACCATGATTGACGGATTGGGTGTTGCTGGTTGGGGAGTTGGTGGTATTGAGGCCGAGGCTGCAATGCTTGGACAGGTATTAAAACCATAGTTCATGGGAAGATCTTTGTATACTTTATTACATAGTTGATGATATAATACTGCATGATGATGTTGAACCATCATTTCGTAATTTGCATCATACAAATTGATACACACATACGTTTGTTCTTAAGCTACAATGGTTTTACTGAAAGTTACTCGAAAACTAGGATTTTCTGTGTGACCGGATGCTTTGTACTGGTGATTCTGTGTAATGTGAAGGTGCCTATTAAGTTGTTCGTCTATTTAAAGAGTAACACCTCGAAATTTTTTTCAAAGACCTATTCGGACATCATTGAAGTTTGCGTCCTTAGTGTGTTTTTCTCTTTTGGATTGATATTTATGTTAGTATTAAATAAAGATGTGAAATGTTGGAACAAGTGTTTGGTCCTTGTGATTTTATTTTCTGTGACTAGTGTGACTCTGAAGTTACTGAGTGCATTAGTTGCAGCCCCATGGATAATTTACATCCACTGACTTGATTCTTCTCTTCATCTTTTTCTTTCTATCTCATATTAATCCTTTCTAAAATTATGTATTGACAAGGTGATGGTTCTTATTTTTATTTTTTCACGTCTTCCCACTTGCTTCTCTACTGTACTGTATGTTATGTTATTTTCTAAAGAAGCAGCTGATGGAAATCGTTTTAGAGGCACGACATTCTGTTGTAATTTCTGTTTGTTATTGGCAGCCAATGAGCATGGTGTTGCCTGGGGTTGTTGGGTTCAAGTTGTCCGGGAAACTGCGCGACGGTGTCACAGCTACTGACCTGGTTTTAACAGTCACTCAAATGCTTCGGAAGCATGGTGTTGTTGGAAAATTTGTGGAGTTTTATGGTATGCTGAATTTAGCATTTTGAACAATGCAATCCTGTGAATATAGAATAAAAATTGATGTTTGGTTTCCATTTGCAGGTAATGGTGTTGGTCAAATATCATTGGCTGATAGGGCTACCATTGCTAACATGTCTCCTGAATATGGTGCAACCATGGGATTCTTCCCTGTAGATCATGTCACTTTGCAATATCTGAAATTGACTGGCCGAAGTGATGAAACGGTAAGTAATTTGTTTTGGGATAGTAAAATTGGCAGCCTCTTGTTTTGCTGCTTAATATTTGTTGATGCTAATAGAGTTTCTCTTAACGGAATGTAGGTGGCTATGATTGAAGGATATCTTCGTGCAAATAAGATGTTCGTCGACTACAATGAGGTAGGGTTATCTCAGTTTTCCTTTTCAGGTTCTGTTTTCTTTCTTTTTCTTTTTCCTTTTTTTTTTAAAAAAAAATTCTTCCCAATTCGTTCATTTTCCATTTCAGCCACAAGAAGAAAAGGTGTATTCATCTTATTTGGATCTTGACCTTTCTGAAGTTGAACCATGTCTTTCTGGACCCAAAAGGTTTGTTCTTTGTTATGACATGTTCACCCATAGTAAATAGAGTTGGTTTTATTTGATGTAAGAGACCTAAAAATAGAACTTTGTGTTCTTTGTAGACCACATGACAGAGTACCTCTTAAAGACATGAAAGCTGATTGGCATAATTGCCTTGACAGTGCAATTGGGTTCAAGGTGAGATCTCGTTGTGCATATGATCCCACGCGTGATTGAACTGTATTTTTAGTTCCTTCCAGGACCAATGCATTCATAGTGATGCTATAGTTTCAGTTAATTTGGCCCTTTTGGTTTTTCAAGGTGAGATCTCGTTGTGCATATCATCCCACGCGTGATTGAACTGTATTTTTAGTTCCTTCCAAGACCAATGCATTCATAGTGATGCTATAGTTTCAGTTAATTTGGCCCTTTTGGTTTTACATTATCAAGAATTGAGTTTGCTAACAAAAATAATGATTTTGAAGCATGTGATGAATTTTGTGACTTCATCTGCTTCTTAAAATGCTTTTACTGCTTGATGTTTTTCCTAACACGATAAAACTAATTCTTATGCAGGGTTTTGCTATACCCAAGGAAGAGCAAGGAAAGGTGGCAAAATTTTCATTTCATGGCGAGCCAGCAGAGCTCAAGCACGGTAGTGTTGTCATTGCTGCTATTACAAGCTGCACTAACACATCAAACCCCAGTGTTATGCTTGGGGCTGGTCTTGTTGCCAAAAAAGCCAGCGAATTGGGTCTGCAGGTTAGTAGTTCGGATGCTTCGGCCTTCATAACCATGAACATTTATGTTTGTTTCTCTTATGCTAACTTGTCGTTGATGAAAATGTTCTAGGTCAAACCCTGGGTAAAAACAAGTCTTGCTCCAGGCTCTGGAGTTGTTACTAAATACTTGCTTCAGAGGTACATTTTTTTTTATATAGAGGAATTATGTTCAGTTGTTGTCAGATTGTTAGCTTATCATGCATAGAGGCCTAACGATGCCCCATTATATATAGTGGACTGCAAAAATATTTAAACCAGCAAGGCTTCCACATTGTTGGATACGGTTGTACCACATGCATCGGAAATTCTGGAGACCTGGATGAGTCAGTTGCTTCGGCGATATCAGAAAATGGTACATAGTTCGGTTTCTTTGCTGGTTTCAGTTTAGTAAAGGGTCTGTCATTATGTCCACTTGGTGGTGAAAGGTAAATCTCATCATCCTTGGCCTGCCTTATGCAGATATTGTGGCAGCTGCCGTGCTTTCTGGAAACAGGAACTTCGAGGGGCGTGTCCACGCTTTGACAAGAGCAAACTACTTGGCCTCACCCCCATTAGTTGTAGCCTATGCTCTTGCTGGAACGGTTAGTATCTATATCTCTCTCTTACAATAACACTAGAAATCTTATTAGCATTTTGCATTTGATGAATTATAGGTACCGGTGCCTAATGAAACACCTTTGACTTGGCAGTTGAATTATGCTTTTGATGAATTAAGCATTTGGGTCTTATCAGTTAGTTTTTGCTTTTGAGAATATTATTAATTCCTTCAAAAAATGAAAATATGAGGTCAAAGTTCTTTTCTTTATTTTTTCAAAGGGATATTAGGTCCAAGTTGGACACTATATGAAAATGCCTTGGGTCCTCAAATTTGACATTTAAAATTGCTAGCTGTTTGGGAAGCATGTACAGGCTAGTTCTAAATATATTTAACCTGTGCAAACATATTGGAAACATTCAGTGCGTCCTAAAAAATGTATGACACAATTCGATTTTGGCTTATTCATCTTTTGATTCTTAGCAAATTGTATTCAGGGGCACAACTGACTCTTGTTCCTTTGTCACCAATTGGCCCTTGTTAGTCAGGAATGTGCATAGGCTTTTGATTAATATGTGATGAAATCTAGCATTTTTTAAATGTATATGTGAACAAACAAGCAATCATTTATTAAACAATCAGGGCATCCTCTAAAGCATATGGTGTACTTGGGTTTCGGTTTATTCCCCTTTTAATTCTTTGCAAATTGTGTTGTTGCTTTTCATTTTGAAGCAAGCATTTATTGTGTTGCTGCTTTGATATTTTTTTTTTTTTCACATTTGGCCCTTGTAGCCTGGAATGTGCATAGACTTTTGATTACAGTGCGATGAAAAGAGCGCTTCTGTTTTGTGAAAGTATAAGCCTGGGTTTTGTTTAACTAAATATGGTGAAACTCTGTTGCAGGTTGATATTGACTTCGAAAAAGAGCCAATTGGAGTAGGAAAGGATGGCAAGGATGTTTATTTTAGAGATATCTGGCCTACTACCGAAGAAGTTGCTGAGGTCAGTATCTGTAGTTTGTGATTGGCCTTTGCTTAGTTGTGCTATGACACTTCAAACTAGAAGCTGAGATGATTTGGCTTTTTTCTTTTAGGCTGTTCAAAGTAGTGTCCTGCCTGATATGTTCAAGAGTACGTATGAAGCTATCACAAAGGGTAACCCCATGTGGAATCAGTTATCAGTCCCAGCTTCTAAACTGTATTCATGGGATCCAAACTCTACTTACATCCACGAGCCACCATATTTCAAGGATATGACCATGGATCCTCCTGGGCCCCATGGAGTGAAGGATGCATATTGTTTGTTGAACTTTGGTGACAGTATTACCACAGATCATATTTCACCAGCTGGAAGCATTCACAAGGACAGTCCAGCTGCAAAGTTTCTTCTCGAACGTGGGGTAGAACGAAAGGATTTCAACTCTTATGGCAGCCGCAGGGGTAATGACGAGATCATGGCAAGAGGAACTTTTGCCAATATCCGCCTCAAGAACAAGTTGCTAAATGGGAAAGAAGGCCCTAAAACAATTCACATTCCTACTGGAGAGGAGTTATATGTGTTCGATGCTGCGATGGTATTTTGCTGATTTCTCAAACTATTTATGCACTAGCTTGTTGCATTTGATTTTGTCTGAAGAATTTGAGTTATTTGAATCTTTTCAAAGGCTGCGAGGTTAGTTCTCTTCTGATTTTTCTGTCTCTGACTTCAGAGGTACAAGTCTGCTGGCCTTGACACTATTATATTGGCTGGGGCTGAGTATGGAAGTGGAAGTTCACGTGATTGGGCTGCCAAAGGTCCAATGTTGCAGGTGACTTACTTAAATTGGCACCCTCTTTCTGAATTCTTTTCCAATGTCCTGATCTTCTGGACCCGCTGATGATTTTGCTTTGATCCTGTAACACAGGGGGTAAAAGCTGTCATTGCAAAGAGCTTTGAAAGGATTCATCGAAGTAACTTGGTTGGAATGGGTATTATCCCGTTATGCTTCAAAGCTGGTGAAGATGCAGATACACTTGGATTGACAGGTCATGAGCGTTATACCATTGACCTTCCCAGCCAAATAAGTGAGATCCGACCTGGCCAAGATGTCACTGTTAAGACTAACTCTGGAAAATCTTTCACGTGCACAGCCCGCTTCGATACGGAGGTAGTAAATTTTCAGTACTCATTTATGTATTTATCTGTTTTGCCGGAGATGGACCCACCTGTCAATCTGATAATATGTATGGGTGCTTTACATATTTTGTTTCCCATGCATCATTGATAACCACCGTTTAGTGTGAGCACTTGGACTCGAAAGCATTTTCAGGGAAATTTAAAAAGAGGAATGTAAAATTATTCTGAAGGAGCACTCATAGTAGTTTTAAACTCTTCTAAAGGGATGTTGTCCCCGTTCACCCCGCCGCGCCCCACACACCCCGCGGATAAAGGCAGCCCTCAAAAAGTCATTTATGTGTGATTACATTTTTTATTATTCATATCAGGACCGTGCCATTGTTAACAGCTGTTATTGTCAGAGACTGACTTTTGCGCTTTGATTGGTTTCGTAGGTGGAGCTGGCTTATTTCAACCATGGAGGCATTCTACCTTATGTGCTACGGCAATTGTCTAAGCAATGAGTAGTACTCCGGTTACCAGAATACAAGGGATAATCTGGTTATTGTTGCAGATTTACAGTGAAATATGGGAAATAAGATTTCCTTCTATAACCCTACAGTCAGAAGGGAATATTTTTGTTGCATCCTGGAGCATGATCTTCTGCTTTGCAAGAAAATCTCGGAATGACATATTCATGTAATAATTTTTTCCACTTCGCCCCTCGGGGTGTTAGCAGTTTTCCTGCTTTTCAGCATTTCAAGCACTGCACCAGTACAGCTTGATGCAGGTTCTTGCTGTTCATTATAATTTGACAACGGTACTGAACTAGTTAGCATACTGTGTATTTCAGGACAGTTTCCCTCTCTGATCGTGTAGTTGACTGGTTTCTGCTTCAGATGTTTTAAATTGAAGCAGTTTGTATGGCTGAATGCTTCAAACTGCCATCTTTCTTCTCCTTTCAGCTTTTCTTTTTCTTCTTTTGTCATACTGTCTCTCACTAAACAACTTACACATTTGTACACATTGATGGTTTGGTAATTTTTCACTCTGTTGCAAAATCTTGTGGTAATTTTACAAATTGATGGAGTACGATTTTTAAATACATAATAAAGAGGTTAATTACTTTAAAATGAAGGCAGTATACTTTAAAATTTAGAATAATAAGTTTAGGTGGGTCCAGTGGAAGGTTGTCAATCTTCAACTTGGTCCAATTACTTGCATTTATTCTCTCTTGGTCTTATTGGTCCATTTGGCTAATTCATATGAGCATATCATTTCAAAGCTTTAGTCGGATAGAATGCAGAATTTAATTTTCAACCATTTTAGGTCAATTTTTAATGGTTAGACACTAAATTTAATGCAGAATTTAAGTTACAACTAACAAAACCTACCTCTGATTTTTCCATCGAATGGTTCAGGATAGACATTTTTCTTTGTTAAACTCACCTTTTTCATACCGGTTGAACTTATTTCCTTTGCCCCGAACTAATTGTTTAATTTCAGGTTCACTTTTAATACAAATAGTACTAAAACGAAAATTCAATATTGAAAATTATTTTGAAATAGATGAAGTGATAATCAATAATCAAGAGACGAGTACCCAACACAGTTTATAAACTTTTAAATTTATGAAATGAGAATCTCCCAATATCAATCACCTATTATCATGACCAACCTATTAATTGTTGATGTTCTTTTTTATGTGTGCGGGAAACTTTCATTTTGCGCATTTGCTTGTGTTAGCTAACTCCATTTTGTCTAAATAAATAATAAATATAACGAAATGATTTTTTAAACTAAAACAGACGAACTCCATTTTATTTTCATCCCATGAAAACATCCCAGAGGCCAAAGGAGCTGGTCAAGATTCTCAGTTTGCTTGGTGAAGATAATTGATAATATTAATTATCATGATACATAATTAGTACAAAACACCAATTTACTTTTATTAGAAAATATCCACTCCTTAATTAGTACTGTGAAAAATGTATATACGGTTCATTGAAACTCAATAAACAAGTTGGTGTCAAAAAACTTCGATTTATATATAACAAGCATGCAGCACGTGGTGGCTGCATGAAAATGATATTTGTATTTCATCCGTTTTGTTTCGATATTTCATCCGTACCATTCACAATCCCTTTCAAAATTATATATTTTAAAATAAACAGGTTATCTTTTTTTGAGTCAAGGATTATTTATTTTAATTTTCATATATAAAAGATTCAATAAAAATAGTTTTTTTTTTTTAAAAATAAAATGTTGATACAAAAAGTAAAATAACAGTTATTTATAATAAAAATATATGGTTATGGTATATATATTAACACAAATTATATAATTTAAAAAGAATAATTAAATTGTACAAAGAGAGTGTCACGTAGAGGATCCCGTGCGGTCTGTATTTGGATTTTTGGAGATCGAGATCTTTGAATCACTCGATTCTAGACGAACCATACATCAGTTGCTAAGTCAGCATATATGGGCGATTAACTTTAAAAAAAAATTTCAGGAAAAAAAAAAGAAAACCAACAAAAACAAAAAACAAACAAATAATAAAAAAAACTTAGTTCACGACTAAATCCCATAAAACGTCCAATACATTTGGGCAAAAAATCATTTTCGTTTTGTACATTTCAAAACACTTATTTTTGTCTCATTCCGTAAAAAAATGTAATTTTTCAACCATTTACGTCTCAAGTCAATTCCCTAACTCATTCATAGATTGATCAAAACCAATATTGAAACTTAACAAAGGCAAAATCTCAAGATTTAATACACCACTTTAAAGTTTTATTTAGAATAAAATATGTTTTACATTTCGGGCAAACATGCATTCCCTTTAATTTGCCCCTTCACCAATTTTTAGAGACAGAATTCGAACGACACATTACTAATTATATAAAAAAAATATTCACTAATACAACATTTGAGGCAAGTACTTATTAGAGAAATATGCCGCGGTGACCGTATAAATGCTTAACATGTTATGTTACATCACAAAATACAAAATCCATAATATCTCAATCTAAACGAGATTATTTACATTACGAAATTATAAAATGAAATTTGATATTGGGAAATACCGGAACATTTTTTTGTGAATTGTCTTTAAAACTAAATCAATTGACAAAATACTTTGTTAAAAGAATTTGTTTAACGACTTGCTCAACTTATTTTGAATTATTAGTCGGAAGAGTAATCTCGTATATAATATATATATAAACCGTAGAAAGAATTCATACAAATTAGAAAGTGACAAAGACCACCACTTTCCTATAGTCTTTATAAAAACATGTTGTCCATAACCATAAGTCCCAAAATCCCGCCTCATATCCCCCAAAACCAATATCACTCTCTCGACTCTCACCCACAGCCACCGTGTACGGCGGTTGAACATCGCCGGAAATGGGCATCGTCAACCAAGATGACACAAACCAACCTCTATTGCAAGTGAAGCCCAAAAGCCACGAAGAAAAACAGTATGAACTGAGCGTGGCATTGGAGAGGGAGCTTTCCAGGACTGACGTTCCTCTCACTAAGCGTCTCGGCGCGGCGGTCGGAATCGAGCTCCGCCTTCTGGTTCGGTTGGCGGCTCCGGCGGCGGCGGTTTATCTGGTGAACTATGTAATGGGAGTGATTACGCAAATAGTTGCCGGCCAACTTGGGAACCTTGAACTCGCGGGTGCCTCCTTAGGAAACAATGGTATCCAAGCCTTTGCTTATGGGGTCATGGTACGTATGTATACGTATAGTACTTTTTTCTAGCTGCTCTTCCTCTACACACAGTCACACACTAAATATATGGAGTAAGTATTGTGGACTGGATGAAGTAATGTTTGTTTAGAAAAGGTGGAAATTTTCGGTGGATAAAATAAAAACTCACTATAATGAAACAAATACTCTCTCCGCACTGTGATCGTGAATCAAACTGTAAATAAACAGAATAATTTTTAGTAACAACAAAATTTAGTGATTTGATTATGACGATAGATAGCAATAACACTATCACTCCAAAGTGCATTTATCAAAATCCATCCATTTTACTTGTTAGGAATCTATGAATAAAAATATAAAAACTTGATGAACAATTATTACTCAAAATCTCATGATTTTGTTTTAAGTACTATGGTTTTTTTTTTTAAAAAAAAAATCGTTAGCCCTAGGCTAATGTCTGCTTCCTTTTTTAAAAAAGTTTATTTTTGTGATTTTTTTGGGACTTCTTGGAGGTAAGGAAACATGTAAGTTTTGTTCAATAATTTTATTCGGTGAGTAGTAGACTGATAAATTATATTACTCAAAATTCACTACCGTTCTAATTAAGTTTTAAATAGTATCATCCTCCTACAATTCACTTTAACATTTATGTCATGTTCATCAAATCCACTTTCCTAAAATGGTGTTATTGTGTCAACCTTGCAAGGGCTGTGACCGTTGCTTTTAAATTTATTAGTGATTCGGTTTCGAGTAACAAATTTGTAGAGTAAAGAAGATTTTACACTATTATTAATATATTTTCTCCTGATCTTTGGGGTATGTTAACCTTAACTAGAAGCATCCGATTCTTAAATTATGAAATACATGCTTAACTTACCGCACTCGTTTGCTTTTTTATTATTTGATTGGTTTAATGTGGTTATCATTAAAGCATATACTCTAATACTTTCTCAAGTTAGTCAGGTAGTTTAAGGATATAATTTTTGGGATTAAGATAATAAAATAATTAGTCGATGCATATGAAATATGGTTGCATGTCTCATCACAAGTCATGGTCATAGCTAGTAAGTTAAATTTTAGTAATTACAGAAAATATACTTCTCATCTTTTCAGGTCAGCTTTTTGCGACCAAAGTCACAAGTCTCATAATTTTCAGTGGAAAAGAAAAAAAGGACTTTTGGTTGTGGTATCACTCATTGTCTTGTTAAAAAGTTCCATCATTGTTTTCCAAATAATTGTTGAGCAAAATATGAGGGGAAAAAAAAGTTGGCCATTGAAAGTTTCTTCGTACATGACAGCCAGTTAGTAAATGTAGGTCCATCAAACCAATGCTTAATCATGTACTGAAATATCTTAGCTCTACAACAAGAGTTTTTTTATTACGAGGTTTTGAAATGATATTAATCAAGATACGGAGTCTAAAACGGTAAAAGGATTTATAATGTGTGTCATTAGAAAATGATATCTTTCTCCATCCTATGTAAATACTCATGTTTTGCTATGGTAAATTTTGTAATTTTTGTGCTAAAAATTGGAATATTCATATTTCGTAGAGTATATATATTATAATCAGGTTAGGAAAAATAATTACATATACAATATTGGTTTTGGCATGAAAATGCGAGACGAACTCTTTTTTCAGATCTTAATAAATCGATTCTTTTTTGAAACAAATGGAACAAAAATCATCCGTAATAAAATGTTAGATTATGTGAATAAAGTTCTCTCTAACTCGTGTTTTAGTCACGAATACATAGCTTAAAGTTATGCAATTTGTATGTATCGAAATCAAATATTAAAAATCAGTTGTCTGAGATGACAAAAGTATTAGGTGATAAAAAGAGGACAAATTCGTTCCATTTACTATGTCTAGTACCTTTCGATATAATTCATATAAGTATCGAACCAAATTTAGTATATTCAAAAGTGTTGTCACGGGTTCCTCGTGGAGCTTCAAGTAATATAATAATATCATGTCACTATTTGCATTTGGTACTTTTTTATTTTCCCCTTCTTTTGTATTGTTGTCCCTGAACCTCAATTCTCAATAATTCAAAGTTTATGTGACAAAGGGACCCTCAAGAGTTGTCCATCAACTGTCTGAAAAAATGTGATATATGGTCCACTCAGATTTATAGTCATTCCTCCTAGCTATCTAGTAACATACAAAGTACTACAGTTACTAATTAATTACTTCCTCCGTTCCAACAAAACACTGTATATTGTTTTACCTTAACAAGAATCTTAATTTATTTGAAACCGATGGAATAACATTTGTATACTCTCCGTCATTCTGTGCGACTCGTTGAATTTTACAATTCTCAGTCTCATTTCTCAATTCTCACATTGGAAAAACTATGGACCATGAGCTCAAAAAAATTACATTTTCTCTATGGAAAAACAGTGGGGAATGGGAAGTGCAGTGGAAACCCTGTGTGGACAGGCATACGGTGCAAAGAAATTCGAAATGCTAGGAGTATATCTCCAAAGATCAACCATTCTGCTTACCCTAACCGGAATCCTGATCATGTTTGTCTACATCTTCTCGAAACCGATCCTAATATTCCTCGGCCAATCCCCGGAAATCGCAGCCGCGGCCGCGCTGTTCAGCTACGGCCTAATCCCGCAACTCTTCGCGTACTGCGCCAACTTTCCGATCCAGAAATTCCTTCAGGCTCAGAGCATCGTGGCCCCCAGCGCTTACATTTCGGGTGCCACGGTTTTTCTCCACATCTTGCTGAGTTGGCTCGCGGTTTACAAGTTTGGGCTCGGGTTATTGGGCTCGGCATTGGTGCTGAGTTTCTCCTGGTGCATCATTGTAATTGGGCAGTTTATATACATTATGTTCAGTGAACGGACCAGGGAGACGTGGCGCGGGTTTAGCGTTCAGGCGTTCCATGGCCTCTGGGATTTCTTCAAGTTGTCGGCCGCCTCGGCCGTCATGCTTTGCCTGGAAACTTGGTATTTTCAGATTCTGGTCATGCTGGCTGGGTTGCTCCCTGATCCTGAGATCGCTTTGGATTCTCTCTCCATATGGTAAAGGAAAGAAAGAAAGAAAAAAAAAAATCTATCCTTTTACACCTAATTAATTAAGCACGATCATATAATTTTGGGAAATCCGCTATATTTAGATAAATAATAGAAACGGTGAATTTATCCAGTAAAATTAATGGTTCAGTGACTGATTTGCAACACATAAAAATGAATATAAAATAATCATCGATTAAATAGTAAAATACGGTAAAAGGTTTATGTATATTTTTATATGTGTCTCATCCATCAATGATTAGTAATTTCACTGAATAAGTTTATTATCTTTATCATGAAAATATCAGATCAAATGCCAAAACATTTCATATGTAAATGCATCGTGTTATCTGAATATCCCTCAATGAATGAAATATTTGTCAATGATTTTGCAGCGTAACAGTCTTGGGATGGGTGTTCATGATTTCTGTAGGATTCAACGCAGCTGCAAGGTAAACCCTAGTTCTCTCAACCATTATTATTGCCATGTGGGCATTGTTATTTAATTATTTCAATATGATTTACTTACTACATCATGAGCACATTTTTAATAAGCTTAATATTATATTTGAGCGTGTTTGGTTCTGGTGATCAGTGTGAGAGTGGGAAATGAGCTTGGAGCTGGACATCCCAAGGCGGCTGCATTTTCAACTATCATAGTCACTGTGATATCATTCATAATCTCCGTCATTGTGGCATTGGTCGTTCTTGCGTTTCGCCATAGCATTAGCTACATGTTCACAGGTGGTGAGGTTGTCGCTAATGCTGTCTCGGATATGTGCCCTTTGCTCGCCGTCACTCTCCTTCTAAATGGGATTCAACCAGTTTTAACTGGTAAGATCAACAATATTCATTCAAGGAACTAGTAATCTTTCTCTCACAAATAATAATAATAATAATAATAATAATAATTCACATCTTTTCACTTATTATTATCATTTTCTCAAGCGTAATAATTTGCGTATAGGCGTTGCTGTTGGGTGTGGCTGGCAAGCATTCGTCGCCTATGTTAATGTTGGTAGCTATTACATGGTCGGTATCCCCATTGGTGCGGTGTTTGGGTTTTATTTCAAATTAGGAGCCAAGGTAATGAAATTAAGATACAATTATAAACTTCAATGTACAAGTTTTCTCACTAAACATAATTAGAGATTGCAAATTAATAAATATTGACTTTTCTAAAAATCTGAATTTTACCCCAAAGAAAGTTTGACTATCTGAATAAAAAATCTTATTGTCAATTTGTAGGGAATTTGGTCAGGGATGATCGGTGGCACATTGATGCAAACTCTCATACTCATTTGGGTCACTTACCGGACAGATTGGAACAAAGAGGTATTATTTTGCTACATTTTCTTATTGATCTTTTACTTTTGAGGCAATAAAGAGAGAGTTGTTCCTACAATACTTAGTGTCAAATAGTTTCTGCTTCGTGAAAGTCCTAATCTTGCTTTTCATAAAGAGAATTCTATGTTAAAAGGAGCAAGTTATTGGAATCCCATCTGCATCGTAACGAAAATTACTTTATGATTCAAATTGCAGGTTGAAATAGCTCAAAATAGGTTGAAGAAGTGGGAGGACAAGACTGAACCACTGCTGAACGAGTAAAAGTAAAAAGAGAAATATTTCCAAGTGAAATATTCGTTCTCAAATATCCTTAAATTATGTTTGAATAGTGACTTTGAGAAGTCATGGACTTCCAATTGCCAAGCTAACGCGATTGTTGTGATTTGATGATGTTGTTATGGAATTGATTATTAAGAATTTCATCCTTAGCGGAACTCTGCTCTTGGTATACCTCGTATCAACCCCCCCCCCCTTCCCTTTTTTATGGTATAAGAAATATATTGTCAACTGATCAGTTTTCACTTGATACGCCATCTAATGGCCAAGCCAAAAATATCATGAATTCAGTTTGGAATTTAGAAACGTAATAAACTGTTATTAATGTTACACTATCTTGGAAGCTTGTACGAAAATGTCTAAATGTATAATTTTTCCGAAAATGTAACTTATCTCTCTATTATATAGGGGGAAAAAAACCCGGAAAAGTTTGTAGCCGCACCTACTTACCCCTTTGGCTCTGTATGCATCAAAAAGAATAGTCAAGGAGTACCTTAAATTTGGAACACGTTGGGAATCGATGGAGGTGATTGCGGATTTGTAATAGTAACGACGTCCTAGTTAGGAAAACTCCATAAAGATGTGATGTTGGAAATTGGAATTGTGATCAGACAGCAATTATTGCATTTTGTTTTTCTCATGATCATGACATGCAACTAATTTTGTTAGCTCCTCTTCATGTACGGAATTTCTATTCAACATTCTACTAATCAGAGCTCAATATAGTTTAACAAGTTAATTACCTGGCGATTATATTGCAATCGAGAGAGTGAAATCATACTTCGGTGAAATCCGCACTAAATTAATCATACAAAATGAAGTAGTCATCTTTTTTATACTCACTCTGTCCCAAAAGAATTTTTACTTTTATTACAATTTGAACTAAAGATAAAAATTTAAATTGGACAATAATTTTGGAACATAAAAAACATGTATAATGTTGAAGAAATAATGTGATTGATGCTATCTTTTGGGAGCATGAAAGTTTTTTATTCAATCATCATCACACTTGATTGACTAATTACTTTCAGCTGTACAATTTTTTTTTCCTGTCACTTACAAGATGAAAAGAAATTATTGGCTCACAACAAGAATAAAACACACAAACACACACCCCCCTAAAGAATTTCCCTAAGTAAAACACAAGCAACTTCTTTGATCAATGCCCAAGCAGCCCGAACGTGACTCTCCTCCGTTAATGTGGCTCCCACTGCAAACCTTAGCATGTAGACCCCACCAACCTTTGTGTGAGTCATATAAGCCCGACCCGTCGAGTTAACCCGATCCAGTAGTTTCCTATTCAAGCTCTCCAAATCCGATTCATCATAACCGTCTTTGAATGGCTTGAACCTAAAACAAACGAGCGCAAATGTCCGAGGTACAACCAATTCAAACCTCGGGTCAGATCTCAGGAATCCTTCGAACATTTTCGCCATTTGGATATCCGACCTAATGTGGGTTTGGAGGTTTACAACGCCATAACTCCGCATGATTAGCCAGAGTCGAAGTGCCCTAAATCTCCTCCCGGTCGCAATTTGCCAATCTTTGAACTCAACTACGGAGCTCGACCCATTCTTTTTCGTGTTTCTTAGATATTCCGGGTCAGTACTTAATGCCTTCACCATCAAGTCGGGTTCCTTAACCCACAAGCAACAACAATCTAAGTAAGAAAGAAGCCATTTTTGAGGGCTCAAACTCAATGAATGGACCTTCTCCACTCCATCCAAGTATTGCCGAAACTCGGGGCATATGCATGCACTACCTGCATACGCGGCATCCACGTGGACCCACATGTCGAATTCGCTTGCCACTTCAGCAATATCGCTAACAGGGTCGACCGCCGTAGTCGAAGTTGTCCCCAACGTTGCGCACACAAAAAGCGGGAGCAACCCTTCTGCCACGTCAGCTTCGACCTGTCGACGTAGGTCAACGGGTGACATGGAAAAGTTTGACTCCTGTGTAGTGGGAATGATTCTTACGTTGCATGGGAAGATACCCGTCAACGTGCATGTCTTGTGGAAGAAGGAATGTGTTTGATCGGATCCGTAAACAACAAGCTTGCCGATGTTCTCGGTTCCAATCTTCTCAAGCACCCGGTCCCGCGCCGCGACAACGGTGCACATAACCGCCTCACTGGTGGTTCCGTGAATGACGCCGCCGCCGGTGCCGGAAAACATGAAAGATTTGGGCAGCTTCAGCATGTTTGCTAGCCAATCAATGACGACCATCTCGAGCTCGGTGGCCGCCGGGGAGGCGAGCCAGTTGAACCCTACGGAGTTGAAGCCGGTGCACAACATTTCTCCGAGGAAAGCGGCCGAGCTAACCGAGGCCGGAAAGTAGGCGAAAAAATTAGGGCTCAACCAGTTTGTCATTCCCGGGATGATGTCTTTCTCAATATCCTTGAGAATGGTTTCAAATGATTCGGGTAGATACGGGGCGGCTTTTGGTAACCGGGTTCTCAAGTAACCCGGATCGACTTGGCTCAAAACCGGATACTTTTCGATGTTTTTGTAGTAATCAGCTATGAAATCAACCATGGTGTGGGCTTTTTTCCTGAAATCTTCAGGATCAAGAGGAGTGAATGCTGTGGGCAAGGGTTTAGAATAGGCTTCATCATTTGTATCAATGCTACCCATTCCTTTTTCTTTGTGCTCTTTTGATTTGCCCTCTCCAAATATGTGAAATGGGTGTCTATTTAAGCAACATCAATCAATAAAGAGGTGATGGAAAAATTTATGCGAAAGATACTTTTAATTTAATGAAGTTAGGAAGTGGTTGAATATGAGTTTTGAAGAAATCTCTACACTATTTATAATGCTTAATAAATTCATTTGTACCACAAATAGTTAATTCATTAAGGCCCCAAAGATAAGGAGTTTCATTCAATTGGAATACAGTTTTCCAAACAAAATCGTCTACTCACGTCTTTTCTCAACCAAAAAAGGAAAGGGGGAAAAGACACAAATTATCTACTTTGTCTATCTTCACAAAATCTAATAGTGAAAAATAATAAAATGACTCACGCAAATGTCAAAACACAGTAAGCGAAATCCAAATTAATTGTATATTTCTTTTACTTTTAGGTATTCTTTGTGATCGTAGACCACAAATATATAATATCGTAATAAAATTAATGAACAAACTCCCTCGTCCTAAAATTATTGTTCAATTTGAATTTTCATTTATAATATAAAATGAACTAAAGTGAAAATTTAAACTGGACAATAATTTCGGAACGGTGGGGTACATAACTTTTAGTTTGGAACAAAAGAGACTATACCTTGCTCCGGTATCCAATAAGCTTTTGACGAAAATCTACTATACCGTTCTCTGTTGTTCAATAAGCTTGCCCAAAATGTGAGAGCTTAATTGGAGACACGTATTAGGATCAAGCTGGGGATAATCATAACAAAAAGGAAATTCAACAACAAACAGACTATTTATTGCGTACGGTTTCGATTAGTTAATTAGAAAGGGTTTTGCTTCAATGAGTCTAATGAGAGTAAAGTGTATGATCGAGTTTTAATTTAAATTGAACACCCACACCCAATTTTTAATCATTATGTGTTTAACTCAAACGTGCATGAAAAAATAATAATAATGATCGAAAATCACGATACGATAGGGTCTCAAATAACTACTCTCTTGTTTTAATTAATTTATGCCTTTATTATTAAGACGGAATGAAATATTTTATTAAATGAACCAAAAAGTTGATTAATGTACAGTTAAAAGTTGCTCAAATCTTTGATTTTATACAATTGTGCCCCCAAAAAAAAAGGAACTATCTCTATCATCATACTAAAAGAAATAGTTTGATCGAATGAATGATGTCACGTGACGATGCACGGATATGCGCCGCCGGTTTAACGGTGGAACTCCGGTTAGGGTTTCCTGCAAAACAGAGCCTCGGGGTCTCTCGAGGGTAGACACTCCAATGCTTAAGTCAGTAAACGGGATTGCTAGAAAATTTTGGGAGGTAGTATGTTTGGCTTATAGATTGCGTACCTCAATTATGGTATGAACTACCCTATTTATAGGTGTGAGATTACTTGTACAATTCCGAATAAAACTAGGTTTTAGGGATTCACACCGTCCTAAGAGTCTCAGTTGGACTCTTCTTGTGGTGAGTGGGCCGGTACAATCTCGGTCATGGATCTAGATTCGTCAAGTGCCCCTGCCAAGTGTTAGTGACATAAAACAAAACAACGCTTGGCATAAAATGAGCATTACCTGAGACATGCCCGAGGGTGGATAGATCACCCTCGTTCAGCTAATTGTCGAGGCATATGCCTAACAAGCTCGGTGCTGACACGCCATCCTCGACCTCGGAGGATCGAGAGGAACCGGCGGGTTGGGCCGTGACCCGGGAAGGCGACCCGCTTCCCCAATCCCGCTCAAATTTTCAACTGTGCGTTATTAGCGGGCACGTTCCCCAAACGGCAGCCTCAACATCATTACTTCCTTGAAACCCATAATAACTGTCAAATTGTGGCCCATAATTAAGGAGACGTGGGAGAACCAACTTTGCGTTTAAAAGAGAAAAATTTCTACTATTCCCGGATACTTAATCACTTCTTTTCTCTACAAAAAGCACAAAAATCTTCTCTTTTGCAAAAAGCATTCCAGCCCCCATTCCGCTCTTCCTTTCCAGAGCATCCGAAGTCCTTTCCCGGCCGGAATTTCCATAATTTTACCTGATATACTGCCCCGGCGACGCCGCTTCCATGGGAGCTCCAAATTGAGGCTTCTAGACAACACTAGAGAGTTATAATTCGAAGGGCGAGTGGTCACGTCCCCTCTACACAGTAAGTTTCCAGATCTGAATCTCCGATTTGTTCCGTTTCCTTTTCGACTGTAACCAGAATAGATCTTTCGCAGAATTATGGTTAGGGATTCCGAAGGAAAAACTGTTCTAGACTTTGTTTCCACCATAGACTCGGTGGATAAGGTAGATAATCTCAGATCCAAGTATGACTTCCCCTCCGCCTTAGAGGCGAGAGCTCCATTAGGAAACGAGAGGGCCAACTCTCCTCCAAGGGAAAAAATTACGGTGTATGATCGATTTATGCATCTAGGGCTTAGATTTTCCCTTTACCCCCTATTTGAGGAGATTATTCAACATTATAGGACTCCTCTCGCTCGTTTTACACCAAATTTAATTACATTTGTACTGGGGTTTGCGAGAGTGTGCCAATATGTAAAGGTGGTACCTCAATTGATATTATGGAGGTACTTTTTCCAAGTAGTTGTGGCCTCGACTTCTTTCCAAGATTGGTATATAGTTAAAAGATGCCTTAGAGCCGGCGTGAAGAAGATGGTCGAGGCGTACGGTGGTTCTCCGGAATGGAAACCGGATTTTGTGTTTGTAAAGGCGCCTGCAAGTTATTGTCTGCCATGGAATCTCCGTGAGACAGAGGGCCTTGGGGCCATAAAAGATGAATGGACCCAAGAGGATAAAGAGTGTGTCAAGGAGTTCCAGGCAGATGTTGAGAAAATTCTGAAGTACTCGAACGTTGTTAAGTGGAACGACGTCCAATACTATGTGCCCCCTGCATATGTGAAGGAAGGTGATACGGTCATTGTCGAGGGAGCAACCAGAATTCCCCTTGAAATCTCTGATCAAGGTACTAATCGTTTTCTTCTTTTTTTTCTTTGTTGTTAGGTCATGTCGTCGAGCAATGCTGGGTCTCGATTGTTTGGTGATGAAGATCCTTTTGTCATTGTGAATTCAGATGAGGACGTTACTGTTACTGCCGCCCCCTCAGAAGAAGAAGAAGAAAAGGATCGTGAAGGTGGGTGACAGGGCAAAGTCAAAAAAGGCCAAGACGGATGTGCCCCTGAAGGAAGCTGCCCAACCAAGCGTCGAGACAGTGCCTGTTGCCACTGAGTCCGTGCAGAAAACTGTGCCGGAGACAGGGCCAAGCATAGTTCCTCCCGGGGGTAGGGAAAGGAAAGGGCCCTCTCGAGGGAGAGGCCATAGTCTTGCCCCCCCCCCCCCTCCAACTGTTCGAGGGAGGCCCGACTATGGCAGTTCATACCTTAAGTAACCCGCCTTCAATCGAGTGTCCTATTCACGAGGAATTCGCTGCCCAACTGAATGAAACTGACAGCTTGCGGCTGGTAAGCAATTTTTTCAAATTACGTCATAAATGCGCCGCGGATGTCCATGTGTCTCTAATACGTTGTGTTGGCTCAGATGAGTGCAGCCTCGATGGCCTACTTAGTGCAACTGAGGAAACTTCGAGAGGACCTGGCAGCAGCAAGGGCAGAAAGGGACGAGGCGTTGTTCGAGGTGGTTACCCTCGAGGAGAAGGTTCGCCAAGTTCAGGCCAAGGAAGCAGAGATTGTCGAGGTGCAGGCCAAATACGACGAGCTCGACGAGAAGATGAAGTCGTTTGCTGGCCTGCATATCTCCAAGGAGGAGCTCCACCAGTGGTGTACCGCCTTTATGTATAGAATGAAGTCCACAGGCGGAATGGCGGCAGCTCTCGAGGAGGCGAACTTGGTTGCCACCAAGTGTGGTGTGCACCGAGTGGGCGTGGCAGGGCTGAGGAGGCTCGACCAGGATAGGCCAATTAAGGCCAAATGGTTTAAGCAACTCTTGATGAATGACCTAAAGAAAACCATGCACGAGGGCACGGTGAAGATCTTGACGAGGTTGAGCCTTGAGCAGCTCCCTCTGTGGGGAGCTCTGACCGGTGGCATGCCCAAGATGAGTTCCCCTACGGAGATTGCCTCGTTTCCAGGCGACGTCCCTGCTGTCTTGGCCAAGGGTCCGAGTGAGGAAGACCCCATCCCCGAGGTTCCTAACGAGTATATGGGCATCGAGCTCGAGGATGCTGATGAGGAAACCGAGGAGGATGTTGCTGATACCGGTCACTCCGGAGTTTAGAGAACCGTTGAGGATGCCTCTCAGGCCCCTTGCAAGGACCCTTCCAATGATCCTTCTGATGATCCTCTCCCAGGCAGTGACGCTGTATGAATCCTGCCTTCTGTAATAGTTTTTAGGCCATTCAAACTTTTTCCTTTCTGCTGTAATGAACTAATTTTTCTTTTCTTGCATAGATTTATGCAAACGTCTCTCTTCATTCCGGTTTTTTGTCCTCTGTGTTCTTTCTATTTGATTTTATATGAGTGCCTTATGCTCGCTTGGTGAAACAAGAAAGTTGGATCGTTCACCGCGTGCACCACATGGTGTTATCAGAGGAGCAATCGAGGGAATTTCCATTATATTCTATGATAAGTGGGATTCTGAGAAGTCGTGCTGACGTGCACAGCCTCGAGATAGTGGCGCATTTGGAGAATGACCTGCTCGATGCCATGAGGACGCACAACGTGAAGGTTAACCAGCATCTGATAAACGAGATCAAAGGACTCCGTGAGGAGATGCAGCGTCGAGAGGTTCAAAGCCTGAGAGACCACAGCGATTCCTTGACTTTCGAGGCCGAGATTCATGACGAGCTGGTGACCATGGAGAAGGAAAATGCTCGGCTTAGGGCAAGACAACAGATTACTGTGTCTCCCTGGTTTCTCGAGAAGCACCAGGTGTTAGCTCGAGTCCAACACATGATTGTGGTCAGGACTCGTCGCTTTATTTCAGCCATGGAAATATTGAAAGAGAGGTCTCGTGAAA